GGTTTCTCAGACCTTCGAGGTGGACGTGGTGTATCCCATAGATCCCATGGGATGTCCCAGCCACTGGACTTTGCAATGCCCCGTGGCCAGCTCCTGAAACAACGGTGGCCAACCGTGGCCAGCGAAAAAAAAGGGGGATGATATATTTATAACTATAGCAACTCTAAAATCCTAACCATATAAATCTATGGTTTATAATGGTTTATATAAATTCTATGGGCTATATTCGGCTATATACCAGAACCACGCTATAGCACTCTATAAAATCCATCCTAAAATCAAATGCCAATGACCGTAGAACAGTTGGAATTATGGGAAATTATGGGATAAGCATCGAACTACCATCCTGACAACATTCGTAGGCAGCTTTTGATGTGTATGATATAGTATTTTGTCATAAATGCTACTACATGTACATACAATCAGGTATATTTGTATACGTGTATTTACATGATAATAACGCATAAAAAATACTTAATTAATCTTAGTCTTGAAACTACAAACCCAAGGAGGTAACCCCATGGTTGTTCTTAACTGTTGTCGGCTCCTGTCACCTATTATCCCGAAGTCCGCATTAAAATATCACAATCCCATTTTGCTGGTCAAACCCCTATCAAATCCCAATTAAATCCTTCAAATCCCAGTGTTTTTTGTGGTTGAACCTTACTAAATCCCGAAAAACGATTTTTCTCCTCTACAATAAATCATGGTTTTATGCGGTGAATCCAACTTCCAGTCCACTGGGGGCCTTCGATTTTCGCCCATGTAATGAATTATATATATATAGATTATATAGTATCCCCATAGATACATAACCCTTTTGTCATAGTATCCTGATCCCAATCCCCTCCCAATTCTACTATAAGCCATCCCATTATTGTTGATGAATATTGTTGATTAATATTCCCATTAAATATCCACCAACCGTTGTCATATCCATTACATAGTTGTGCACACATCTATCATGCAACAACTAGCAATAATCTGATAGTAAGTTTATATAAACACTTATATCCAGTTCAATTTGAAACATTCCCATGATGTTCTCATTATTGTTTCATACACTATTGCTAATATATCACATACCGTTGACATATGGTAATACCATTCATTACTGTAAACATTAAATCACACAATATGGCTACAATATATATATATATACCGCTTGATTACATAGCTATAAGATTTTGTTCATATCATATATTTATTGCTTCAATGTATATATATATACATATTATATATATATATCATTTATATCATATCATATCATATTATATAGGTATGTATACATATAATACATATATCCCGTTCATTCTTGTTGCCTCAATGGCACCATTTCCGATGGCAGCATGGCGGGGCACCTCCTCACTGTCGCTGTCGGCCAGCTCCGCCACACGGTACACCTCTCGGGAGAGATAGAGAGAGAGAGAGGGATTTGTATAAACGTATAGATGTACATATATAAATATGTATATATAATTATATATATAATATATATATACTTACACATATGTATATAGTTAAATAATTATATATATGTATATGTATGTATACAGCTGTAAAATTCTAAATATATATATAATATATATACATGTATATAATATATATATATATTTATTTATTTACCGATGTATATATAATGTAAACATATGTGTGTGTGTATATATGTATGTTGGTTCCAGAACAGATACGTTTTTGTTCCAGTGGGTTCCAATAGTTCCGACAATCTGATATGTGGCTTTCAAACAAGCAGTGGTACCCTCCAGGAAAACGTACAGACACACAAAAAAAACATTGTTTCGGGAGGAAAATGAATACACATGGTGACATTTTTATCTACTATACATGTTGAATTACTGACTGGTTGGTGGAACTGGAGAAAGTATGACACTTTCACATTTTTCTGGGCGTGGCTGTCTGCCACAGAACCTGTTTTGGCCATGGGTTAGAGCTATTTGCAACGTATTCAAACACATCTCCATTGATTTATATATTGCTTAAATCATTGTCTTTGACGCTTTGACCACCAGTTTTGCTCGTGATTCCAGAATAATTAATTGTCAAATACATATCTTTTGTTCGGGTTACATCCCATATGAATCCAATATGTGTTGGTGAATCTCATATAAATACCATATACCCTCCAGTAAATTAACAGTTCGACCCTGGCAGTTGCCGGGGTTGGAAGATTAGTGAAACCACTAACAATTGGTGATTTTCAGGGTCTAGAAAATCCCATAGAAATCCCATAGTTAGAAATCCCACAGAAATCTCATAGACATCCCATAGAAATCCCACTAAACATAGACCAGAGGGTAAATTTCATAGAACTCCCACTGAAATGGCACGGCTGTCCATCTCCACATCGAAATCGCAGGACAGACCAGGACGGACCGTGCCTGGCCCCTCCAACAGCGCCTGGCGCAACGCCATGTGTCGGATGATTTGACACCTATAGTAATCTATAGTACCCTCTGGTAATAATGGGGATTTATAGGGATTTATAGGGATTTATAGGTGATATCATGGATAATACCCTCTGGTAATGACTAACATAGCTATTGAAAATGGCCCATTTATAGTTGATTTACCGAACTTAAAGATGGTGATTTTCAATAGCTATGTTAGTTTACCAGAGGGTAAGTCAATGATTGATGATAAGGTGATTTATATAAATGATATATCACGAAACCTATTATCAAGTTGATGCAAGTTGATTTAAGTTGATAAGTTGTTTTACAACTAGACTATACTGACTATAATCTGAAATATACAACTATATAATGTGTGGAGAAAACTTAATATCTATCTATATATATATTATCAGGATATTCCAGATGGAAGTGCTATGGATTCCCATGGTATGACCGTCCCTTTTTCACCGCAAGTTGCTGGTCTTCATAAACGATCGCGTCTAATGGGGTTTCTCATGGAATTTAGGTAGCTAAGTTGGTAAACATTACTTGGGAAAAGCTTTGGGTTTATGGACTATATAACATTCCCATATGCTCCATGTATGGAATATTTACCACCATTTACCCCATAAATGGCCCAAATGTAGGTAAATATACCATACATGGAGCATATGGGACTATATAGCATGTATATAACGAACTAGTCAGTGGGTCTTGTAAAACATCACAACTGGGGGGGCCCACCTTCCTATTGACATCACTCACGTAGATGCCTTTCACCTATAAGTGGTTTATCGGTTTCCATCCGATAGTATCAAACCGCATTAGGTCTGACTAATTCAGGATCATTATGAACAAAATATGCAGCAAAACAACGTATAGTCAAAACTTTAACTTCAGTTCCCCTTCCTGTAAATGCTTATGATACATAGATGTGGCCAAAAGATGTGGAAAATCATGCAAATCACCATTTTCTATGATTTTGGTAAATGGCTATGGATCAATACCTATACATACCATTTTTAGGGGGATGAACATCCATTTACCAGCTATTTTGATGTTCACCAAGGGGATAGGGTTTTGACCCATCCCGCCAAAATCATCAAGAAACCAACCAGTTCCCAATCTTTTCACCAACAGAACCTCATCAACCAATGGTCGCTGGTCGGTGGCCTGCTTTTGCGTTGTCCGTTGGACCGGTTCTCCACCAAATCACTGGGCGGCAAAGTGCGTGCTGACCACGGGATGGCCCATTGGCCCATTGGGTGTTTTTGTTGGTAACAGCTGTAACCAATAGATTTCTAGAATATGTGGTTTTTGGTAGTCAGGGTTACTAATGGTGAGAAATGGAAATCATGGATACTAGATGGTACTGGTATCACAATATTTCATATAGCTGTTTAATGCTGGAATCTGTGCATTCTGTAATCTCAGTGGGAGAGCGGCGTTTTCGCTTTAAAAATGGAGAATGATCAGCCAGAAAAAAAACAGATGGCAACCAGCAACAACCAGCAACAACCAGCGACAACTATCAATGTGGGGCCAGTAAGGTTTGCTGGTTTAGATTCACGCCATGAATACCATCTAGTTACACGTTAATGTATCAAAACATATCAAAACTATGAACCATAGTTATTGGAGTTCCAAACCAACTTCGCTATTGTAAACAGGGACCCCACTTTGTAAATGTCTTGGGGACGCAATGGGGATGCATGGTGGTACACCTTATGAATTTCTGGAGAGCATATGGCGTGTCGAGCTGTTAAGGTAGCCGAGCTGTTAAGGTCTTTTGTTCCTCATTTTTCGAAGTGGGAATATCATGGGGAGATTTTCTGGGGATATAGCTATAAAGAAAAAATATAATAATAATAATGATAATAGTAATTATTATTCTAACAACAGCTGAAATAATATGTATCTTAATCTTATCATATATATAATTAGCCATATATATATATAGCATATATTATAAAATTAAACCCCATGTTCATGAGCCAACACTCTGATATGTCGGTCTTTTGAATCTAAGGTAATTCTTCACATACCTTTGGAGCATACCATCAGTCATCCCTCCAACAGCCCTTAGCAGAGATTTCGAAAGCCTCACATAAGCGGTGCTTAAGGGGCAAGTGGTATGCTTTAGGGCTATGAATCTTTTCTAGATTCAACCGGTTCAAATTATTCTGGTTGGTGGTTTCAACCCCACTGAAAAATATTAGTCAGTTGGGAGTATTATTCCCAATATATGGGAAAATAAAAAATGTTCCAAACCACCAAACAGTATTGGTTTCGATATTTCTGAAACATATTTTGACGTAAAAAAATGAGATGATGATTTAAATTGACTCACATAATTGGGAGATCGGGTGATATCGCCAGTATTTTCACCGCCAGTATTTCGGAGCGAACCTGTAAACCTTGGGTTCTGCAAAATCTGAATAGCTTGATATAGCTTGACAACCTTGGTTTACTGAAATATCCCCATGACATATTCCCTCTAGAAATTCCCGTGCATATGCCCGCTAAACTGTGGCTCCATGGCCGCCATCGCCGGACGTTTTCGTTTTTTTTCGCAAAACGAATCGATCAGCGCACGGCCGGGGCCATGGGCGCTTCCTGGCGACCAGACATGGCAGTGTGTCAAAACCAATAGTACCCCTGGTGAACATCAAAATAGCTGGTTTAGCTGGATGTTCATCCCCGTAAGAATGGTATATTTATAGGTATTGATCCATACCCACATGGCTTTGGGGGTGTTTATAAACGCTGATACCACCAAAAACAAGACTCAAAAAATGAAACAAAACCTGTGACTCTGCAGACTGTTGGGACCCTTTGCCTTGCACCACTCTGAACTTCACAAAAACAGTGGGGAGATAGTAGAATCAACACGAATGCTTCCAGGTTTTACACCATGTCCTAAAAATGAATCAGCTGGCATTCTGTCTAACATATGTAGTGGACAAGGAAGGGGTCCATGGATTTCAACATATTTCAACATTCTCGGGTTGAAATCCATGGCTATTTGGAACCCCAGACGACCATCAAGAATACATTAACGGATTCGGTTTAGAGCTCATAATGACAATACCCATATGCTCCATGTATGGAATATTTACCACCATTTAATCATTTACCCCATAAATGGCCCAAATGTTAGCATATGTACCAGCACCATGGATCCGTCATGGGTAATGACAAATGAGTGCTGCTAAACTCTCCATCCGGAGGTTTCACTTCGGCTTTTGTGATGGTTTATGATCTTATATATGATATGATTGTAGTATATATATATTATATATACTGATATTATAGTTACTCCGTTTTTTTGGGGGGGGATATGTGATATTACTATTATTATACTCCTATTAGTTACTCCTCGTTGAGGTTTCAAAAGACTTGGGGTTTCTTATAGTTCATTATACTCCGTTGTACGCCTAATTACTCCTACAATGTGTGGCCCCCTAGATAGCTAAGTTGGTATAACTTCAATAACTAGGCTTTATGATACGTATATTAACTATAGACTTTATATATATATATAACTATAGTTAATGAGGTTTATAAACCAACTTATAACTGGGGGGGGCCACATCGTAGGGATATTTAAGGATGCTCAAAAAATGCCCCCGAGAACGAGCGCCTCATCGGTGGCATCCTCGCTACTGCTTAAGCGACTCTCATCCATGGTCGTGGTGCTTTCGCGATCCGTATCCTCTCCACATTGGGCGAGATTTTTTCGGTGTGAACAAGAAATGTGGTGACCCACATGGCCCACATGACATATAAATTCATGAAATTTCAGACATATTTTTATTGGATGATCATTAGATATAGAAATTCCTTAAAAAATAGCTATTTCATGAAGATTTTTCACACACTTTCTATATATTCTTTAAGCCACCAGCTTCTCCAAGCTATGCATCTGCAAGATCCTGGATGGTACAAGTGGTGCATTGGCAAAACCATTGACTAAACCATTGACTAAAGAAATTCACGAAAGAAAAATACCAAAAATGATGCACTTTTGGTAATGGTAACTGGAAAAAAATGCACTTTTGTAATGAAATACCCAAAAATACCAAAAAATGCCTTTGAAAAAACTGGGACTGGAAAATCATTGAACAAAAGACTGCCCAACAAGTGCTTTTTGTTCAATCGGATTTGCATAAGAAACACGTGGTTACTGGGGGACAACAATGCAGAATCGAATTTAAGGAATAGGTACTGTATATCATATCTAAAGATATCTAAAGGAATTCTATATGCCACTATCCATGTGTATCCCATTTATTTACCAGTAGTACCGCACTGACTCTTTCTCTTCTGATTCTTTCTCTTCTCTGACTTCTCTCACCACTGTTGCTGCATCTGTCCATAAGTCGGAAATTTGACTTATACATATCCTTCGATCCTATATGGGGATTGGTCAAAACCCTGTACCCCTTCTGTTCACATCAAAATAGCTGGTTTAGCTGGATGTTCATCCCCATAAGAATGGTATATTTATAGGTATTGATCCATAGCCATATCTAGACTTCATGGAGTTTATGGAAACCAACTTATAACTGGGCACAACTTTGTAACTATACCTGGATGTATATATCCCCATTTTGTTTTATATATCCCCATAGATATCCCCCGATGCGGATGACCCCCCCCCGGCGGTCCCCGCAAATTCCCGGCACCCTTCGCCGGGCCCGGTGCCCCGTGCTACGGTAGATGAGAAATTCCTCAGCGCGCGACCGTCGGACCGGGGCCATCGGTAAAGTGCACTTCAGAAATACCAGGGAGGTCATCAACATGAAATTTAGGTGGATTTACCCTCTGGGAAATTAACATAGACCCTGAAAATAGCCTAGTTTTAATGGAAACTAATCTTCCAACCCCCATCTGCCAGGGTCTATGTTAATTTACCAGAGGGTAACCGTGAACAATATGGATAATATGGATGTGCGTGGGATTTCACAGTGGGATTCCATGGGATTTGAAGGTTTTAGTGGGAACATCATTAAATTCATCATCTATAAATTAATCAATGGTGGATTTTACACTGCCATTTTTTTGATTGCCAGAAAAGTGGGAAAACATCATCGGTACGGTACCATTGGAAACACGTCAAAAACGACATCTTCTTTTCGGGGGTTTTCTATAAATAATTTCAAAGAACTCAATGAGGATTTAACCAGAACACACATGTGCTATGTATGCATATATATATATATTGGGATTTACTATCGGGATCGTAAGGGATAAATCATGGAAACATGATGAAAAATGGAGGTATAAATCAACAATCATGGGGATACATGAGTAAGAATATAACAAAATATTGACCATCTGATGTGATGTCGGAAGCCAACAAATGACAAATCAACCTACAAACATGCAGCGTGAAAGCACATGCTGTGATATCATATGATATAATATGATACCAGTATTATACACTAAACTATCTTCGAGATATCAATGGTTTATTCGACAAACAAATGGTTATAATGGTGGGTAAGTGGTTTGTACCGCTCATATCTGATTAACAGCATTGAGCATCTGAGACTTCTTTGGGGAATTGCAGATTATAATGATTATACATCCAACTCAATTTACTAAGAGGGGTTATACTCGCACTTACAGGGATTTGTTCACCCAGTTTTACAAGTGAGCCATGAAACATACCTCTGTCCCATCCCCTTATACTGGTTGGTTTCGTCAATCTTCCTATCATGGTTGTAAAAATCCACAATAAACCAGTTAGTATAACATAGTATGATCCGCTATATAAATCATCCTGAAGTAGATAGAATATGGAATGTTCAATGATATTCCCAGTTTATCGATGCTGTTTCGAAATGTCCATCTTCGACTCCAGAATGACATGTTTATCAACCCATCCACAGATAAACCAGTTAGTATAACATAGATCAACATATTATAACTCCCTATAATCATCTATATATATAATCATCTATAATCATCGATAATCTATATTCACATCTATGAAAACCCTAGTATAACATAGCATAACACCCCTATAACCCATTCACAAAGGTCTCCTCTTCACGGCTCAGATCGGCTCAGTTTGTTGTGATCCACCAGTGATTCCTGGCGCCCAAGGCACGTGCAGATCGAATGTCCGGCAGCAGCTACGTAGAGCGGAGTTCACGAAGCTCAGCAGCAGCAGTGGGGTCCTTGAAACGGTGCCGGGGAAAAACCAACAGCATCTTTTCAGGGGTGATACATGTCGAAAAACAGGTGGAGAAACATGGGAATGGGGAAGTTTCAAGAACGCATATATTACCATTTAGTAAACTAACATAGGAAAATCTCCATTTTTTAATGGGTAAATCAGCTATAAATGGCCATTTTCAATAGCTACGTCAAATTGCCAGAGGGTATATACTGTCTACACATATTCTCTATAGATTTCCCAAATAATGGATTTCCGGGCAAATAAACAATGACCTTAAACAAATCCTGCCTCATGTTTCCACATTCAAGAATCATTCCAAGTCGAGGTTTTCCACACCCAGCAATGCGTAGGGGCTGAGGCTTAAAGTGGCCGTCGAGAGTTAGGGATTTCAACCAGCCTTTTTCAACAAGAATGGAATGTTTTTTTGGGTTTGTCTCAGCAAAACTCATGGAACCAGAAACTGCTGCTTATTTTGCGTACGAAATACTACGAGTACTGTACAAAACCATCTAGTCGAAGGGGTAGTCGATCTCAAGCCGATATAACCCCTCCGCGTTCTCCCAGTTTTACTTCAGGCCGGTATCCCATTTTCGGTCTTTATCCCATGTGTATTTCTTGGCTTGAGAAGTTGAGGAGTTGTTGTCTGCCATGATAAGCAATGTGGGTAAAACAATGCCATAAACCATCCCCCACATCACAATTTTTATAAGTGTTTTACCCATTGATTCTTCTTCTCCCCAAATCACCAAATTTAGGTGGCAGCCTGGTACAAACCATTCCCAGTTATGGATGGTTTACTGGTTGGTGGTTTCAATCCCTCTGAACAAATTGAGTTCGTCAGTTGGGATGATGACATTCCCAACTGAACAGAAAGTCATAAAATTCCATGGTTCCAAACCACCAACCAGATTTAATAATATGGTTGTTGGAAAACCATGATGGATTAAAAGTTTAATATGATCTCTCCCATGGTTTAATATGTATTTTTCATGGTTAATATGGTTTTTCCTATGGTTTAAACATCCCCTAAATTTATGGACGCTTGATATAATGGGAAAATCCTACTGTGGATGGTTGCGAGCAAAAAACAATGACTGGTTAATATGGTTTTACCCACAAAAAAACCCATTTCCAGCATCCCACTCCGCCACTCCGCCCAGCGTCAGAATGAGAGTGGAGGTCACCATATCTCTGAACCTGGGACAATGGGACAGGAACCCTGTGAAAAATAACGAAATCCCCATGGAATTCATGAGGTAAACCCAACGAAATGGTAGGTGTATGGGGTTTAATTGGGGTTTACTTTTCCTGGGCGAAACATTATTGGGGAAAGGAGGTAAACAAAGTCAAAGTCATCCCCAATTTCGATCAAGAAATGGAGGGTTTTCACCACCATCGCTGAATGGTAGGTGATTGTGGCAATGGGTATACCACGTTATACACTCCTGTAATCATACGTGGTAATTGAAAATCCCCTATGTATCTGGGTAAATTCTAATATTTCACTAACCTGAATCTTGCGGCCATTTGGGGATGATTTCCCTAAAATAAACCATGATTCCAGGGTTCGGGAGAACAGTGAGGTCGTGATCAAATTTACCCAGCTGGGAAAAGATGATTTTCCTAGGAAAACCTTCAGTTACTTCGGGGAAATTCGGGTGCCACATTTGATTCGCCAAAAACCAGCCCTGATTGTCCCAGCCGTTTGATCATCCCGTCATTTATATAGCCATAGCCATAGGATCCATGTATGGTATATATGCTAACATTTGGGCCATTTTTGGGGTAAATGGTAAATATTCCATACATGGAGCATATGGGATATAAAACCCACATGAAACACCATTCTCCAGAGGGTGCATCGAAATGGTCGATCATGCGCTCATCAACATCATCAACCCACCAAACTTAAACAGTGGGTCATTTTTTGTATTTATCCATTTAACACCATTTGACACCAAAACGCACGAAACATCAAAAGTATATGTGTATATATCTGGATAATTTAAAATATTTCACTAACCTGAATTAAGGCCATGTTGGAATGATTTCCCTTATTAACCATGATTCCCAGTGAGGTCGCAGTGAGGTCGTTATAATTCACCCATCCATATATGTATATATAATTATATATATATATATGATTATATATTATATGTCTATGGTTGTACTGAGTTATACTCCATGCATTTAAAATCTGAAAGATGTGCTTTCTTAGAAACCACATAGCATGCCATGGCCGCAATCTGTGATCAACTGCACTGTGCTGGCTGGGATCCCCATTTAGAGCTAGCATTATCGCCATACAAGTGAATTCAGTTACCAGGTAACACGTACATGATACATGTCTCTATGATTATATGATTCTACATTAATTCTATATGATTCTATATGTATGTATTGCATATGTACATGCATTAAGTTTCATGAACTAGTCCTATCTGATTTTTTTTGCCAACCTGGTTGCCCCTCACCTCACTTTTTGCCATCTCTCTCTCTCTCTCTCTCTCTCTTTGCCGACGAGGAACATGCGGTTCGTCAGCACCCAAAAGTACAGTGCCTCTGTGGACCGACAGCGATCTGGTGGGATTGAACCATCTTTTTGTAGGAGATATCTTGGAATAAACTGAACAAAAACATGAATAAACATGACTGGTTGGTGGTTTCAACTCCTCTGAAAAATATGAACGTCAGTTGGGCTTCTTATTCCCAAAATATGGAAAATAAAAAATGTTCCAAACCACCAACCAGATGAATAAACATCCAATTAGGATGCACATGAAAACGGAACCCGAATTGCTCACCATTGAATGTTTCAAATCAGGGAACCCTTGCATGCACAACACTTCGACCACTGCACCAAGGGATAGTGCCAAGGAAAACCATCTAACATAAGTTTCTCTGAAAATGAAGTACCGCTAGATCCACTGATCAATCACCAGTGTCCCTATTAACATCCTATTTTGGGGTTATGTACATTTCACATTTCGGTGGCATAGTGTGGCCTTGTGCCAAAAGGTGACAATAATGCTGCCAAGACTATTCCATGATGCCATCGATCTTTGTTCACCAACAATCATATATCTGGCTGAATTGAAACGCAATTCACCAACCTGAAAATAGCTGAGTCATGAGACCAGCCATGGGGGGAAAAAAATCCCCGAATTCCAATTCATCAATTCGCATTCCAGTGCCGCCACAGTGAGGTCATGAAATTTCATCCAAACACAGACATGTATTTATATACTGTTACTATAGACATGTAGCACATACTCATCATGGTTTCTGCTTCCTCAGCATGCAAAATCATGTAAGCTATCAAACTTCACTGAGTGACTCAAGTTCAGACATTTATCTTTTAGATCTGTGGAAATACGGTGGAACAGTACCCCAGTCCATCGCACGATTGAACAGCCAACAGGCCTTCTGGCAAAATCACCATCCTTGATGCTCAAATCCTCAGCCTTAACTGTTAGTTAAATCTCCAGTTTTCTATAATCCTTGCTAAACTATCTAAAATACATTAAACCTGGATGATCTGGATATTTCAAGCCCAACTTGTCTTCGTCAAATGGGTGAAACCTCCCCGCCTGCAGCCCTCGTTCCGGTCGACAACAGCTTGACCCGCGCGTGCAGCGTGAACACAAGAGACCTGGCGAGGCAGACAGGGGTCGACCCGAATGAAGTGGAACAAATGCTGATTTGTGTGGGATTTCATGGGATCGATATAATTTCATGGGATATAATTACATGTGTGTGCGATTTCAGTGGGAAAAAAACGTGTAATTTTCCTTTGGCGAGATGGGATTTAAGGAGGACAAACGGTGGTTTATGTGGAATTTAGTGGGAATTGACAATGACAAGTTAGGATTTAGCCAATGAATCAGGGAAACACGGGGGTTATGTGCCAACAATTTGATGGGGAGATTTTATGAGGATATTTCAGGTGCACCTATTAAAGAAACAATCTGATGACCCAGTTTTTTTTAGCTAAAAATTTATGGTCTATGGTGGATACATCTGATGGGTTTACAAACCAACTGAAAAGAAAAATGGGCAGCAGTTTTTCTCCGAATCTTGCACAGGTAGAAACTCTTCAAAAATGTCGGAATAATTCAAAAGATGCTTCCCTGATGTTCAAATGTCACAAACATGTTACCAGAATGTTGGGATGTGAAAAGTCAAACCAGCTTTTGAGTGATTTGCTATGGACAAATACCCGAAAAAAACTGTGGGACCCCACGACAAGTAAGTTCTGAAAAGTTGCTTACTAGCAGTAGTTAGGACTTAGTCATGGTGAATACTTAATCCCATTATAATCCCATTGTGGAAACCAACAAACATATCTTAAGGGTGCCCCAGTGGCTGGCCGAGACAATACTGCCCGCCCCATTTTTATGAGCCCAAAAACCATATGGCCATGGGGCTATAATAGCTGAATCCCAAAGAGGCCTTCATTGCAGTATCCATGATTGCATATATTGTGAATGGACTGGCAATTCATTGCAATATATATGCAGTATACCCTTAGTATCCATATATATATATTGATTGCAGAATCAATCCAACAATTGTGAATTCGGTGGTACATGTCAGTCTATAGTCTATACCTATAAACAGCGAGTGAACTGACTATACCTATAACATCCTATAACCACCATTATCTAGGTCCATCATCTTCGTGGCGATGTCGACGGCGTCGAAGATGTTCTTAGCCCGGAGCCAACGGCCCCAACGGCCAATCCTTGACCTCGGGCTCCCATGACTTCCTGCATGCGCTGGACTGGACTGGAATTCCTCCAGCAGGTGGATCTTGTCCACAGCCGCAGGTGCTGCAGGTGTTGTTGTCCTTCGAAACTTGAAGTAATTTGTCAACCCCCACAAAATCACATGCATTAAACATGGTGGTAGCATGCCCACTTGACCGGGACACACATCCAAGGACCCCGTAGTTGCACAAGGACCAATTGGACGAGGGTCATCAACTTGGGTATATGACAATCCTGGATTCAAATCTCAAGCTATAAAACATGGTAGGAGGGTAGGATTTCCCCCCATGGCAAAACAAAACAGTGCTCCTAAGAACCCATCATATGACGGTGCCATTATACTCATATCTATATAGATAAATGTATATATATATATACATACTTATATATATATATACATACTTATATATATATACATATATAAGTATATATATATATATACATATATATAAATATACTTATATATATATATATTATATATGTATATATATACATATACTTATATATATATATATACTTCTATATAGACTTATATATATACATATATATAACACTATATATATACATATATTAATATGTAATTATATAGAAACACACACACACACACTGTTTGTGGGTATATGGATCCCGTTATTATGTGATGGCTAACCTATACCTACATGGTCGCACTCAGTGTCCCCAGCACATTTCCTGCGTTTTTGTGGGCTCCACTCCACTATGACTTCAAGGAATTCCAAAAAATCCCAAAACGGGGTGCCCTGTTTCGCAGCTCTGTTTGTTGGTTTCTTTTCACCCCATCCCCTACACATCGTGAAAAAATCCCATAGACCCATCCGTTAACGTAGTGAAATCAACAGCAACTAACTTAGCTTCCCATGACAACTCCCAGTAGATCACCATGGGATTCATAGTAAAATCATGTCAAATCCCCAATAGATGATGGGTTTCAAATGGTTTCTATGAGATTTTCAGTAGAAAAATCAGTAGTTTCTATGGTTTCAAATGGTTTCAAATGGTTTCTATGAGATTTTCACGCAATCCGATCCCACCTTCTGCCAGAAAAATCACGACTTCCAGTAGCAAGTACTTCAGGATGAGCCTTGGGATAATGAGATGAGCCAGTTCCAAAACACCCGCTCGAAATGGTATCTTAATGTAACTTCAAATGAAAAAAATGAAGTTAATAGATAATTATCATGTATATGTATATATATATATATAATTATATTACGTATAATTATTGTGGCTATACAATATACAAGTATGAAACCACTCAAAATCATGGTGAGTAGAGTGATACAGTAAACAAATATAAACAAACAATACCTCCATTTTTTGTGGTTTGAATCTCCCACTTGGATACCTTTGTTTGACGGGTGTTTTACCAATTTTAACTGCCACAACTGGCACTTTTGTGGTTTGTATCCTAATTCAGTGTCCAGTAGTGAAATGGTGTCATTATATATAATTTCCTTTTTATATAATGACATATAGTTCAATAGTTCAAAATATGGGTCATGATATTTTGAATTAAACATTGAAAATATCATGGGTTAGTTGAACCATTGAATGGTGTAGAAAAACCCATATGATGTTGAAAATATCATTGAACCCATTCAACCTGTGGGTCCGTCTGAGTCTGTCAGGTACCCCAACATCCAATGGTTTAGCGCATCGTCCCGCATGAAGGTTTGGCGCCATACATTGGGAATTGTTATTCGAAAAATTTTCCGAAACACCAAAACCGCAGAGTGTTGGCTATATTCCACTATAACCCAATTATCTCCCCACAATTTTGCTATGCCCATCATCATTTCATATCCTTTCCCTGCACTTTCAAATTGAAAGTATCAACCTACAATCCCCAAATGATCATAGACCTTCAAAATTAGTCTTCCAATCCCTTGCCAGGTCTATGTCCCCCACCTTTTTACGTTGCAACGCCCACCTGCCAGCCCTGTGTCCGTTGCCGTTGCCACCGCGGCGCCCGGCGATGAAGTCCTTCCAGCGCCCCATGCGACGCAACAGCTGAAGCGCCAGCAGGGCTTCGGTGACTTCCAGAGCGACCACGAGGAAGGCCAGCACGGGCACCAGTTTCCGCCTAGGGCGCCGTGGATCATGGAGGATGAGGAATTATGTGTATATATAAAAATATATATGGCTACATGTTTTAAAAAAACATAAAAGATAAATAAAACTTAGTTATTATTACTATTATAATACATATTTATATATGTATATGGTTGATTGATTGATCGATTGATTGGTTGGTTCATTGATTAGTTGTTTGATTGATGGATGATATACAGATTGTGTATATATATAGTAGCATTAAACATAAAAATAAAAAATATATAAGGTCTATAATCTAATTTAGCGATCATCAATGATTATGCATAATATTTGTATGTGTGGATATATTTGAACCATCAACAATGTATGATAGGACAATATGATTGGTGATTGTTAGATTATATTTATATATACATATTACACTGTAATGTGAGGGGTATGTGGGGTGGAAATGACAATGATGTGATATATAAGATATATATATAGATGTTTCCTACAAATCGTCATGGTGAAATCATACTTGTGGTTCCACACATAGGCTAGTCATTGTATAATCATGACCATATGTAAGAAACAACCAAAGTGTATAGCTATGTATGCCTGGTGGTTGTAAAGGTTATGTTCGTTCTATTTTACATGTAACACTGTCGCACATAACTTAACCAACATAGAGTCGCATGGTCGTCGAGGTATATAATCATACACATATATATATAATCAATACATATATATATATGTTATTATACATATTATATATTATATATATAAATATAAATATTTGTTATATATTATTAAATCATATATATATATATATTTATGTAAATATATATATATATACGCATATGCCAATGTTTTCCAATAGAAAAGACATCATCAATCATGGAGAGGCGAGAAAAACTGGGGAACCCCCTGCTTGGAACCATCAGCTACTCGGGACGATGGCTATCTAGAGGGGCTTATCATTCATGCAGATTCTGTTTAGACAGTAGCAAATAGTAATACATAGCATTATACGGATATATATATATATATATATACATGTATTTTGTATATATATATATATATATTTATTTAAAATGGACACATCCTAATTAGATCAATGAGCTTCAATCTATAGCCCAATCTTTGGGAACCACCAATCTATCATGGCTGTCCAAGGCGCAGCAAATCCCATGTGCTTTCATCTCTCACCTTGCAACATGTTCTCCTGCCGAAGACACGCCCCGTATTGAAACCCATGGCTTTAGGCTACCTCCCATTATAGGAGATACATAGAAATACCCATCATCATTCAGCCGCTCTCTTACTTCCTCCATCTTGCCGCCCGTACCCGATATTGCTTGGCAAGCAGTCCATGTTGAATCACTTTCATCTCACCTCTCATGTTCTCTTGACTTTGGCTTGTCCGATTTCCATCTGGGTATGCCAGAATATGGTTACCCACATGTGATGGTTGACAATCATGTTTGTTATCAAAATTGCAAGTTGGTGGTAATTATACGATATACCTCACGTTGATCCATGATCAACCCCAAAGCTGGGATTTGAATCGTTTGGTTTTATTGAATTCAGGTATTTAGAAATTTGATGGTTGATACCCATGGTCCCCTTTGTAATCCCTCTTTGCTGATGCTTTAATGGGTGTCATTCCCATGAATAAATGTCGGAATCAATTGTGGATCACGCTTTCCCTGCAGCTGTCATTGCCGCACCTGCATGGGACACCCATTGTGCAACGACTTTGCAATCTTTTGCCAAATGCAAAACAGATCAAAACTGCACAAAGGCACAAAGTACCAACATCATCTAGACGCACCGACTGTCTCACTTGACTTAAGGGTCTACATCCCATATTTTCCACATTAATATACACCAATAATCAATCCCATATTAACCCCATAAAATAATATAAAATAGATGTCTTAACCGTTATTAACCCCGTATTGGGCCACCTTTTTCCTACCCTTTTTCCCTGTCTTCCCGGCCCAAAAAACTGCCGTCCTCATGGACCTCACGGCGGCCGTGCTGGCGGAGACCAGGAGACAAAGCAGCCACGAGGAGAAGACCGGAGGCAGCAAGGTCCAGGCGGCCACCTCAACGGGGATCATCCCGGAAATTGGGACGAGAAAAAAAAAAAATATTAAGGAATTCTAGGCATGTTTTTTTGGGGGGGTTTAGGTAATTTTATTTTAGGTAATTTTATTTTAGGTAATTTTAAGGACTCTAGGGAAATTTTGGGAATTTTAGGAATCTAGAGATTTTACGATTTTTTGGGAATTTAGGTAATTTTAGAGACTTTAGGGATTATAGGTAATTTTAATGTTTTTTTGGGTGATTTTTAGGAATTTAAGTAATTTTAGGGGATTTTGAGAATTATTGTTTTGGTGAATTTAGGTAATTTTAGTGACTTTAGCGTTGTTTTTTGAAATCTTGGTCATTTTAGGAATGTCTAATGATTTTTTGAAAGAACTTAATAGGGAATTTAAATAATTTTACGGAAATTTGATGATGTGTTTTTTTTTTTACTTAGGTAATTTTAGGATTTTAGGGAATTTTATGGAATTTAGGGAAATGTGTTTAAGGATTTTAGGTAATTTCGTGAATTTTAATTAGTTTTTGTTGGAAGTTTAGGGAGTTTTAATAATTGTAATGAATTTTAAGGATTTGTGTTTTTGAATTTAAGTAATTATAGGTAATTTTAAGGACTTTCGGGAGTTTTAGTGAATTTTAAGGAACTTAGGGCATTTAGGTCATTTGGGCAGTTTAGAGAATTTAGGGAATTTTGGTAATTTTAGACAATTTAGGGAAGTTGCAGGAATTTTAATTTTTAGATGTTAGGGAATTTATCGTATGTGCAAATGTATCTCATTGTATATCTATAAATTATATGATAATGATGATGATGGTGGTGATGATGGAGATGATGATGAAGGTGATGGTGATGATAATGATGATGGTGATGATGATGATGATGATGATGGAGATGATGATGATGATGATGAGGATGAGGATGAGGATGAAAATGGTGGTGATGATGATGATGATGGTGATGGTGGTGAAGATGATGTTGATGATGATGGTGGTGATGGTGATGATGATGGTGATGGTGATGGGGATGATGATGCTGATAATGGTGATGGTGATGGTTATGGTGGTCATGATGGTGGTGATGGTGATGCTGATGGTGGTGATGGTGATGGGGATGGTGGTTGATGATGATGGTGATGATGATGATGATGATGACAATGATGATGATGATGATGATTATGATGATGATGATGAGGATGAGGATGAGGATGAGGATGAAAATGGTGGTGATGATGATGATGATGATGGTGATGGTGGTGAAGATGATGTTGATGATGATGGTGGTGATGGTGATGATGATGGTGATAATGGTTATGGTGATGATGATGCTGATAATGGTGATGGTGATGGTTATGGTGGTGATGATGGTGGTGATGGTGATGCTGATGGTGGTGATGGTGATGGGGATGGTGGTTGATGATGATGATGGTGATGATGATGATGATGATGACAATAATGATGATGATGATGATGATGATGACGATGCTGATGATGATGCGGTGATGGTGACGATGCTGATAATGATGATGACAATGATGGTGGTAAAGATGATGATGATGATGATGATGATGATGATGATGATGTTGGTGATGGTGGTGATGATGACGATGGTGGTGATGGTGGTGGTAATATTGATGATGATGATGATGAAGATGAAGATGATGATGATGATGGTGATGGTGATGGTGATGATGATGATGATGACGGCGGTGATGGTGAACATCATGATGATGATGATGATGATTATGATGGCGGTGATGGTGATGATGATGGTGGTGATGATGATGATAGTGACGATGATGATGATGGTGATGGTGCTGGTGATGAAGATGATGATGATGGTGGTGATTGTGGTGATGATGAAGGTGGTGACGGTGGTGTTAATGATGATGATGATGATGATGATGGTTATGACGATGGTGGTGATGGTGATTATGATTATGATGAAGATGATGATGATGATGATTGTGATGATGATGATGTTGATGATGATGATGATGGCGGTGACGGTGATGGTGATGGTGATGGTGGTGGTGATGATTATGGTGATGATGATGATGATGGTGATGATGATGGTGGTGATGGTGGTGATGATGATGATGACGACGGTGGTGAATTTTCCTAGAGTTCATTGGTTGGGCCATTGATCCGTCGGAACTTGATTGAAGACTCTCATCAAGTTAAACAAGAAGTCCTGCAGGGCGGAAATGGAATACCGCTCAGCTCGACCATGAACACTGACTGTCGTGTGATCAAAGATCCTCGAACTCGTTGAACTCGATCAAGATCAAAGAGCCTGGAAATGATTAGCAAAACAGCGCTGCCACGAGGGGCCATTCCCTAACGAGTGCAGCCTTCGACATTGTTTTGAACTTTGAACTGGAGATCTGGCACATCCTCCAATCCTTTGATCAATTCCGCACAAACCAACCGCCTAACTCTGGGACAAAGCTTGACGGACGGGCACACTCTCGAGCTGAATCGACTTTGAACGCCAGGGCTACCCATGAGTTGCAATAATCAACTTCACTAACATCCGGACTCCCCACCATCAAAATCAACATGTTTTTCCTGATGGTGATGAAAATGATGGTGATGATGATGGTGATAATGATGATGGTGATGGTGCGTGTGATGGTGGTGATGGTGATGATGATGGTGGTGATGATGATGATGATGATGATGGTGCGTGTGATGGTGGTGATGATAATGATGATGGTGATGATGATGGTGATGATGGTGCTGATGATGCTGATGATAATGATGATGTAATTAGATTGTACTATAATGCATTACAGATGTGTACACAGAAATGTGTGTGCATGTGATATGTATATATATATATATATGCGGTGTATTAACATGTCTTATGTGATCTTACGCGTATATGTATATATGATTATATATGTGTATATATATATATATACAGTATTTATGTGTACTGTGTGGATACATATGTATAGAGAGAGAGAGAGATGGGGGTGATAAATAGCGGTACGATTGGGCTAATGTCCAAGGACCACTTCAACAGAAGCTGTCAATACCCCCTGGATACCGCTTCGAAAAACTAGAGCCCCTCCGAGGGTCTACCCCTTGCGCGCCTCTTTGATGTAGACCTGCGAGGAGAAAATCACTTGCATCATGCTGACCTGGCGGAAGATGATCCCTCGGATGGCTGGTGGCTGCACACCCAAATCATCCATGCACAAAGCATGGATCCATAGAAAAACATCGTTGGATCCCTCAAATTCTGACCCATCTTCCGTCATATGATCTGGCTGGTGGTTGACCTACCCCTCTGAAAAATGATGGAGTTCGTCAGTTGGGGTTATGACATTCCCAATATATGGAAAGTCATAAAACATGTTCCAAACCACCAATTAGTTATCATATTCCGTAGATATCAGGCCCGCTGGTGACTTGACCTAACATTTCCTGACCCATGCGACCCCCCAAAAAAAACAGCCTGGCCTTGTGATTGACCACTGCGAACCACACGGAGACGCCAAGGAAAACCTCAAACGGAGGCTTGGCAAATGCGAAGGATGTGGTGGATGGCCTCCAAAAAACCAGCCAGGGGAAAGGGAAAATGAACATGGTCCATGGATTGGTTTAAGGGAAAATCTACAGGAAACCATAGATGTTCAATGAAATGCAGGGTTTCCTGCACCTTTAAACCTATCCATTGACACGAGTTAAGCCCCGAGAAAAATAGGGCCTCGAATTCCAAATCAACAATTTTGGTGATTGAATCAACCGACAAAAATCAGATCCGAACTTCGCTCATCTGCTTGGACTTCCCTTGAAGTATTTCTTGACTCTGAAATTAACTTTCTATGTACCTTCCGGTGTCATCAATTGTGGCTTGCTGGAAAATCCTCCATTTATGGATAATTTTCCCAGCTCTAAACCTCCATGGAGTTCCCATATTTCCTATCGGTTTTCCTATGGTTTTCCATTAAAGCCTCCAGTTCGGGGATCTCCCGTTGCACCGGTTGCACCGTGATTTTCTCGGACGATCATCCCAGAATGACCCAAATGTGGCCGGAAATTCACATGTTATGGACACATTTCTATACCCATATGCTCCATGTATGGTATATTTACCTACATTTGGGCCATTTATGGGGTAAATGTTGGAACATATTCCATACATGGAGCATATGGGATATATACTGTAACTTATTTTCATGAAATTATCTACGTAACATTACTCTCACAATCTCTATAAATATAAATAATACCAAGCAAGGCCGCTAGAGAGTGTGATAGCATATTGCTACCAAGATCTATTCAAACGTCATCAGTAACATAGGCGCGGCTTATGAGTCTACACATGCCTTAAACATTGAAGGGTTTTTTCTGTCCCTTGAGGCCTCTAAAAATACGGCTGCCTGGCCCAGGCGATTTTTATGGGGGGTTCTACATTTTTTGGGCCCGGCACCTGGCCCAGGCTCCAAGAAACCACCAAAAAGTTCAGGTCCAACATGGAAATACCTCAGCTATTTCAACAAAAGTCACTGAAGGGAAGCTGAAAGATACTGAAAAAAGGTGTCCATGTGATGTGATATCACTGTCAATGTGATGAGTGTGTGTTTTTCTAGAACATGTTCAGTGAATATTTCGCTGGAGCGCCAAAGAGCCATGAGAGTTCTACCCTGTTTTCTCATCGCATGAAATCCTGCTTGGTCAATTGGTATCATGGGTCACAATCCCAAAACCAGGTGTATCATACGCAAGCACCAATCTGTATATAACTTGTCAGTTATATTGTAGCTATATCAGTTATATCACGCTATATAATTGCATTAGTTGTTGTGGTTATTATCAATAGTTTGTGAGAAAATATCACCAAATTCCTGATGGTGGTTACAGTTATGGCCATTTAATCAGTTATAATTGGTTGGTATTTCTATGGGATTATACATTCTATAAATATCAATGAATGGGGTTAGTTCAGTACCTATAATTGGTATAACTCGGGCCATAACTGTAGAGTTTATAATCATGATATCGCCATTTTCTACCGGACCAAGTTGCTTAGACCAGTCCGGGGCTTTAGCTGAAACTCCTGGTCCGGTGCACACAGGTGCACCCAGCTGAAACTGGCAATTTAGGTGATTTTGTTGGACTTTTTTTTCCTAAGGAAAAACATGTTGATTCTATATTTGATGTCATCATTTTATGATAATATCTTATATGAACAACAAACAGGGATCTTGACTCGCAAGGAATGGGGACTGGGGACATTCACCAAATAAGAGAAGGGAATTCACTAGAAAAATATATGGGTTCCACTTGCAAACTATCAGGATGTAAACAATTCATACGGCACTTGAATACGACCAAACCACATGGTCATAGTTTTGGCTCAAGCTTGGTTGGATCAGAAACTGAAATCATCACTCTTGTAGGTGGTGAACTAGCATGTTCCCAACCAAGTTGATATTGAAAACGGGATGATCTACCACCAACAAAAGAGGAATGTATGTGGTCCCCAGTCCCCAGTCACCAATATATTTAGGACCTGAAATATCTCCACCAAAACCCATTGGTAAAGGCCCCATTCCTACCATGGCCTCCCTTGGAACTCGCAACGGCCCCACCTCATACCACCGGAGCCATCCGGCACCCCAATTCCTTGGAAGCCAAGTTCTTAGGCTGAAACAGCACACCAATTGGCACATCAATGGGTTATGAAAATAGGGTAATGTGGGTAAAACAATGCCATAAACCACCCGTTTGGGAATGGTAAACATACCGCCTATTTATGGTGATTTTGGGGATTGTTTATTGTTGTTTTACCCACATTACCCAAAAATCATGAAACATTCAGTGGCTTGCAGTCCACACCCATATTTTTTCGACATTAGGAACATGACTATAACCGAAAATAGTGGGGTATCAAAATCCAGTGGCTTATAGTCATGTTCCCGTTTTTCACTGGCCATAGTTGGATATAATTGGGCTATACCCAATTTATAGACACACCCATTTGATCATTTGGCTGAATGTTTGCTCATCCCCAAGGCAGCAAGGAAGCTGCCTTAGTTCCGTATACCATCGTATACCCCCGGTAAAGGAACCTGGCAAGACTTACCTGGCAGAAAATCAGGATTTACGCAGTTGATTGCCATTCATGATCACCTCCTTCAGACGAGATTCTTCCAAAAGAAACGGCACAGGACACGCCTCACCAACGTTAAACTGTGGCGGAGCCCGGCATGAGCCACGCATCCTTCAAATCAATGAAGTACAACATAGTACAACTATAACCTATAGTTACTATAGTTCAATCAAGATAAATCAATGATCACTGAATAAAAGTAATATAAAAGTGATGTTCAAAGTTCTAAAGTCACAACCAGAACACGACTCACAACCAGAATCTGCCCGGAACACGACGAAAAAACGGACTCTCCCTGGCGATTTCCCGGCGGCCTGTCTTCTAAGATGTGTTTTCTTGCAAACCTCAGCTCTGAAAACCACCAGAGGCGGGATGGAGAAATCGGTGAAGCAGTGAATTGTAAAGAACACAGCAAATGGTATAAGAAACTTATAATAGGTCAAACTTGGGTACAGTAAACTAAGATTTGGATGAGGTCAATACTATATATATATATAGAAAAAAGTGTGTGGTCTGTGGTCGCATAGTGCTTATAAATATAAACGATATATAAACGTTCTGTTCTTATCTATCCCAAGGATACAGCATGGCAGTAAGAACATCTCGAATGCCTCCCAACCATCCAGAAATGGTAGGTTTAAGGCATTGGGTTTCCCACATTTATATAGATGTATGGCATTTTTGGACGTGGGGAAGGCGGTAAACAACGTTCCATCATGATCAGAGTCCAAATGAATGTGGGATCTGTGGTCCAAGTTCAGCCTTGGATTCTGGTGACTTGGACGGGGATACCCAAGAGTAGAACTGTTTTCATGACTTAACTAATAATTAACATTGATTAAATCTGTTTTCAACTATATAATTCTGGCTCAACTTTCATGTCCAGCAGCAACAAACAAACAATTTCATGAGTTTGGCATGGCATATTCCCTCATCAAAACTCTTAAAATTAATCCATTCTCACTTCTCCTTCGCAAGTCAGTTTCGCCAAAACTCTCGTGCCCAGTGACTGATGTGGGTTGAAGATGAACGGGGCATACAGCCAAGAGACAATCGTCATCCCAATGCCTCGTCCGTGCAGCGTACGGCGTGGCCAATGTGACACAGCTGGTGTCATCAAACATGGCGGGCCGCTGGGAAGTGCCCTATGAATGAAGGTTCGTAGCTGGCAAAATCATCTATAAATTGGGAAGTCTCTATGAAAAACATATTTCTGGATGTATCGTGATGTATCTGGTTACTTTGAGATCATCTTGAACAGATCTCAAACAATCAAGTTGATGGGAAACGCCCCAAATCAAACATGATGCATGATTCGAATTATCTGAGGCACATCCGAGCTATGAGTGTTGCTTTAGCCCATCCCAGCGAGCTCCCGACATGCCCACAGGGCGGATAATCCATGTCCTTAGATCATTGGCTGTTTTCCCGCCTGTTGTTTTCGAAGTCACTTCTCATCCTCAATCATTGTCAAACATCAATCATCATGCGTCTTTTGAAACCGTGCCATTGTGCCGTCACCTTACAAACTCATCACGAATTGCACAGCAGTGGCTGCCTGATATCCAAAATCTGATGATCCAAGTGTGGTCTTTACCCGAATAGCATTCCTGGGTGCAGGCCCATTTGAGGATACCTATGCTATACACTCAGATCAACGCCATCTGTCTCTTTATTGATCCATCTCTCGCCCTCAGTCACTACTGACATAACAAGGTCAAAGTTGCGGTCAAATTCTATGATTTTGGTCAACAACAAGGCACACCTATACTTTTTGGAACCAAACAAAATCCGGGTCTTGGTTGATAGTGACCATTCACGATCCTTTGTAAAACGACGGCACGACTTGCTAAAACTCAGTTCGGGAAAATGGACTGTCGTGGCTAACCTTAGCCAAACAGCACGCAAATAGTAACACTCCATCATGTATAGCTAGCAAATGATCATTAGGAATCCATGAAAAGCTAGCATTCATCAGTCAGTCTACTAATTCATCAAAACTGCCGTCAAATTGTCCTATTCATCATTGTTTTGAACAAATGAGCCAGACAAAAATAGCCGTATCATCGTAATGGTTGGTCATACCAGGTATCCCTGTTTCCCAAAATGAATCCCAAATAAATCAGGCAGTATAACCTCCTACAGTAATTACCCTCTGGTAAACGTTTACAAAAAACTATGGAAAGATCCACCATTTTATAGCTGGGAAAACTCACTATTTCTATGGCAATTTTCAACAGCTTTTTGTATGTTTACCAGAGGGTATATCCCATTAAAACCACCATGTTTGTTGGTTAAATCCCATTAAACCACCATTTTTCATGGTTAAACCAGAGGGTATTATCCATAACCTCCTACAGTAATTAATCAGCAATCGTCATGGAGTCCTGGCATTCCGAAATGGCTCAAAATTGCCATGGACCGAGCAGCGGTAGACGTTGCCTGTTTCCGAAGGCTGCACGGATGGGAGATGGAGTTTTGGAGCGGGATCTGGGTGGTTACAGGGACATGGCCATTGAATATCATTTAATCAGTTATAACGGCCTATTTCTATATGGGATAATGTATACATTCTATAAATATCAATGATTTCTATGGGATTATACTATACATTCTATAAATGAGGTTAGTTCAGTACTTATATACTGTAACTGGTATAACTCGGGCCATAACTGTGGAGACCTGGACTGGCTTGGGATGCTTTGATGCTCAGGCCAGATCAACCACCATTAGAATGGTGTTTTACCCCCATAGTGTTAGTAAGTTTATCATTGTTTGGAGGAAAGACACATGAGCTGGGCTTTATCAAAAAAACAAAAACAATGTCTGATCAAGTCCAGCTTGGATGGTTCTTCCATTACCAATGGATGATCCCACGATATCATACATCACACAGCTGTAGTAAAGGGTAGTGTTCGCTACATGACACACACACACACTTCCTATATATGAATAACATATTATATATATACATAATATACATATTACATATCATAATTGTTCACCAAGCACATACTGTACTTCTGCAAGGCCATTCTCTGCTTTTGCAAGGTCGTATTTCCAGTTATATTTCCATCGTGCATGGTGACATTTGCATTTTTATGCCCCCTGGCATTATATAACCAGATTCCTCATGGGGTGTCCTCATGATGTTGAAACCAGACTTCTTCAAGATGGTTTTGTCTGAATATTGGGGCAAACATGGGCAATCCCATCTCGTTTAGAGCTATTGAAAGGGCCCATTTGACATTCGATGATTTAATTATTAAAAATTATGATGTTCAACAGAAAACTCTGAACAATTACCGGAGTAAAACCCACGTCTTCCATCATCTTCCCACATGTTCCATCAATTTTCCATCAATTTTCCCATATTTTTGCCCATGGTTTCAACGGATTTCAACAACCCATGGGACCCCCCCCGTGGCCCATGGCAAGGCTGCCAAGGTGCTACTGTCCATGCCGCCCAATTCGGCCACCATAATGGCAGAGATCAATAGGGTGAGGCCATCATAGAACGCTTGGACGGCGTAGTCTAAATAGAGGCCTGAAATCATAGTGCAATGGCTATATATATATGGTGAAATATGGTATTATATGAAATTATATGGCCATAATTATAGGACTATGAAATTCAGGGAACGAAGGAATTGAACGAATTGAACGAATTGAACGAATTGAACGAATTACGGATCAGAGTAGAATGGTTATATTGGTGTTATATAGTGTTACATGGCCATAATTAATAGGAACAATCTCCCAACTTATATATTATATCACTATATATAGTTATAGTGACATGTTTTCTCAATTATCAATGTCATTGTCTATTGTCCGGTTGACAGGCTTGGGGTGATGAAGCAAGGCTTCGAACCATGTTGTATGCGTCGGTTTTCATCCCCACAGGAGCTATCAAGCAGGTGTCACAAAGGCCCACATGCTATCAAACTATTGGATGCTATTGGCATATCACTACAATGTGAGGCCCCCCAGTGATGTTTGTTGGTTTAGATTCGCCCCAGTAACAAGTTCGTTATAAATGCCATAAACCATAGTGAAATTGGAGTTATAAACGCACCAACTTAGCTATCCTAAACGGGGGCCTCGTAGCATTTTGTTTCAATCCGCCGGGGATGATGCCATGAATCCCAGCGGGTTCCACTAATCTGACTGCAGTATTTCAATGTATTTCATATGTGCAATGGCTAAAAATTGAACTATATATATATATATATAATATATATATAATATATATATAATATATATATATACATATATATATAATACATATATATATATATATAATACATATATATATATATATTCATATGGCTAAAAAATCAAATATATAAATAATATACAGCCATCTTGGGGGAATGGGAACACTCAATCCATTTTCCATAGGGATTTCTATGGCCGCCGCCTTCAAACTGATTGGTGCCGCTTTGGCGGATGAAGTGGCGCCGCTCCGTTGGGAGGCTGCGCCCCGTGCTGATGTACTTGGCACCACCTAGGCGTTTATAGCCCTGGGTGAAGAATGGGAGATTCATCACCCTTTGGAGGTTTCCATTTTTATGGAGGGTATCCATTTTTATGCTTGGTTTATTTCATTACAAAATCCCATCCATAAACGGATGAGAACTGGGGGTACCCCTATTTCAGGAAACCTCTACATATTTGGATGGCCATTTGAGTAGATGGGGCACCCATCTCCAATAACGTTTGGCTTTGTGGTAGATGTTAGTCCAATAGGCTTTATAGACCAACTTTTACCTTGGGCCACCTCTTAGGGAAGATGACATGATGAGGTATAAAGGATTCGGATGGATTTGGGGACTCCCTATTTTTAGACAAACACACTTGAAAGTCATATCATAATGGAAATCGAACTGTATCCCATGGTTTCCCCTGTCCAAAAATTGGTTGAGAACGGGATTCCCAGTTCATCGATGAAAATACTTCATGATCATTCCGAATCATTCCCAATATACTGCATATGATCAATTATGCGTTATAATTTTGCTGGTTACACAAAAAATACAAGGTCATTTACAATGTATGTGTATAAATTAGAATATTTAAATATGTATTAATATGTATTAATATGTATTAATATGTATTAGTATGTATTTAGATGTACCAATATGTATTAATTAGTATATATGTATCTGTATTTTATAATATGTACCCCGTTAAAACAAACAAAACATCAACCAACATTAAAAAAACAATCAAGCAACATGGTTTCTTGACTCATCCACCGGTTAAGCAGCCACTGCTCAATTCGAACCAAGCATCCATATCGCAGTTCATTGACCACCTCGATGTGACGAGACTTTCATGACTGGCTGGGTCTAAAGAGCTTCGATGATCAAAACCACAGGCATTACTGGCAGACAGGTAAGATAGGTAAGCGGGAAGATCAAAGAAATATAGTTCATACAGTGTATAGACATATTTAGAATACAACAACTTTCATCGGATTTGCGCTTGATGTCTTTTGAACTTACTTTTCATGTTTAGAAAAAACGGAGAAAGTCTCATGGGTGATCAGGTCCATTGGCTCCCAATCCGATCCATCTTTCTGGAAATTTCTATCGGTCGTATTACTATTTGGATCTATTTGGTATAGTATTCCCAGATTTTGAAATCTTACGACATGTTGTGTTTTTCAAAATATGGCATCGTTGTAAGACACCATCTTGCACCATTTTGAAAGGAAGGCCAAATGAGTCCCTAGAGATTTCCAACGGAAGTGGGGGTCGCTACTGAGATCAATCCTAGCCTGAAGTATTCAACATTACATTTCATGAAGTGTATCTAAGATTATCTAGGGGTAAATGATGGTAATTTGTTTACATTAAGTGGTGTATACATGCGTATACCCATTCCCCGTTCATAGAGGATAGTTTCAATTCTTGAAACATATTACCATCATTTCCCCTTAATTGAAATTATCATGAATTCTATTGCCATCTTATTCTGACAAAATACAATTACAAGTGAGTCAAACAAGATGCCACCAACCCCTCTTGCTCACCCAACCGACCCTCAACTTTTCATCCCAGCCAGGCCCAGCCATAAAGCAGCGACTGGTGCAGCTTGGAAACGTAGAAACCAATAATCTTTGCCTGGAAAACAAACCTCAGGGCAGGTGATATCAGGTTTGGTTGAAGGGAACCGGAAACTACCGGATCGCTTTTACATCCAAATATATAGGAGGTAGCCAATTCTGGGACAACAGCTTTTTGTGTGTCATTCATTCCATTCCTCCAAATGAATTCAAATGAGTTTCCGACCAGGGTCTTCTGGGAGAGAGGTGTTCATGGTCACGGGGGGCAAGGATTAGTTGCTGTTGGAGGCTATTTGCATCATCTGCAGTCACTATGTGTCTCCTGAGCAAATGATCACGTTAGCTTATAATTCAGTAAAAACTATCCAACATGAAATCCACCTGAACTAGTCTACAAGCAGCCATACCTTCACTCTGTGAGTTTGCTACAATATGATTTTCCACCAAATCGAATCGGCATTGCTTTGGCGAGCTAATCAGTTGGCACTGACACTGCGCCGAAAACACAATTCATCGGAAAAAACTACCAGTCTCTACTCCGGACCAAGATGCATGAGGAAAGATAAGGTGAAGACCTGTTTCAGGAGCCGTTTCACCGCAATCTTCAAACTCCTGTGGTTTCGGGCAGGAAGGGCGAGTCTCCAACAAAACATGAAGTAGTGGGAAAAAAAAACTGGTAGGAATATCATCCACGAATGAATGATGTTCAGTCCAATGTTTGAAATGATTATATAATAATTATACACATATCATGTGCAAAATCATCACTGATGGACTGATGGGCAAAACCGACCATCTACGTGCCACGGATGCTCCTCTCAAGCCATTCTTCGGTAAAGAGCGGCAGGGCCGTCGCCAGCAGGACCAGGATCAGTAGGGCGTAGGTGTAGATGCTGGCCAGCATCCTGACTGGCCCATCAAGGTCCCCCAAGCTGCTTGAAGCCTGATCCCCGGCCTATGCAGAATATACATCCCACATATATGTCCAGTTATGATTAGTGTCACAATTGAGTTAAAAATGGTTGAAACACTGCAATCTATGAGCCACTTGCCGATGCTTTTATTAATTGGGTTGTGACATTTGAGTGATTGGGACATGACCCGTTGTCAAATATGTGCGAGCCTAGTTATACCCCAACTGTCCTATCTACAGTACATATAGTTAAATACCCCTTCTGTTTAATTATATCAGCGAACCGTTGGTTCAAGCTCCAATTTGCGCTATCTCTTGAAACATTCTCAGTTTTCATGGTTAGATCAGATCTCAGTTTTGATACATTTTGATGGTTAATTCTCAGCTTTCATGATGTGTTCATGGTTCATTCTCACTTTTGATGGTAAACATCCTCCAGTTTTACACCTCCAGCGGCAGTTTTTTCGGACGCCCCGGAAGCTCCGCCCCGTCCTCCCCATGAGCTCTGGCGCTGGATGCTTGGCGCAGCCCTCGAAGGCCCCGAAGCGGCCGTCGCAGTCCGTGGCCAAGACCAGGGACCAGGTGAAGAGCACCTGTGAAACGATGATTGTTACAGTTATGGCCGTTATTATTGGTGATTTTGCTGGTGATTAACAGTGGTTAATAGTGGTTAATTGGTGATTAATGGTGATGAATAGTGGTTAATAAGTGGTTCATAATGGCTAAACATGTGATTCATTACGATTATTACAGTTATGGCCGTAGAAACCAATTGGCTAAAGGGTGAACTTATTGGTTATGACACTATGGGATAAAACACATAAACCATTTTTATAAATGCGTTTAGTGAACTATCCTTATAACTTATAATGATTATTATGGGATTATTATGGAATTATTGAGCCATTAAGTGAACTAAATGGATTGTTGGAATTTTATGGGATTATTATGGAACTCTTATGGTGATTCCAAGGGCATGATTGAGGGCCTTTTATGATGGAATTGTTATGATCTATTTATTGGGGATTATTTGGAATTTTATTGGGATCTTGTGGGATTATATTGGGATTAACTCTGGTGAATATTGGTGAATATAACTTGTTTTATTGGGATTATATTGGGATTCTAAGGGGGGATTTTGACAAGTTCTTTTTCTGGGATTGTACGAGACTTCTATGGCCTTTTGATGGGGATCCTCTGATTCACCAGAATCTGGGAACAATGAGGGGATTCTATGGATAATTTTTGTAGGACGATTATAGTCAAATTACAATTAGATCAGATAATGGTGATTAATTGCATTATGGGATATATATATACTTATGTATATACATGTATATAATTACATATCTATATATATATGCGAACATAAGTTATCAAGGCGAACACGCACACACACCCAGTTCATATGTCTCAAAGTGTGACCCCTCCCAATTTCGTCCCCCATGTTCTCCAGGGCCCTTTTTCCAGCCGCCCAAGGCCCAAGGAGCTGTTGGCATGACCCACGACAGGAGGAATTGGGTCATGTAGTAGCCCGCATGCGCGTAGTACCTGGAAACCACAGATGAGACGGTTGGCCATGAGGTGATATAGCGCCATGAGGCCAGTCAAATTAAGAAACCATAGTAGTGACCCAAGTGAATTCGTTTTGTGTGTTCAATGTTCTCGTCAAATTAATATTACATACGTGTGTTTATCGATGTTTGTGTGATCTCATTCCTGCACCACTTCGTTGGATCTTCCCGGATTCAGCCATAGAAAAACATGTGGAAAACACATAGGAAATTCCTTCCAGTTATGGCCCAACATACCAGTTTTCTCAGTACTTATACTATAACACCTAATAAAAATGGTTTATGTGTTTTATCCCATTTTTATTTCTAATGTCAAGTGAGGATTAATAATGCCCCTCGATTAATCAACAGCAACTGCCCAAAAAAAAATGTAATTTAAAAACAGGTGGTCCCCCCAGATTAATATTTTTTTTGGCCTACCCCCGATTAATCAACAACCACTTCGGAAATCCATTTTTTTATCCAACATTTTTTATTTCCAATTCTATTTATTTCCAATTGTGTTTTACCTTTTTTTTAATCATCATTGTTATACTTCAGGTTTAAGTTGATCATTGAAAATTTCAAAAAACAACTATTCCCCAAATGATCGATTTCTAATTAAAATATTTATAAAAAACATCAGTTTGGATAGCTCCCAAAGGGTACCTACCCCCCATGAGTCCATGTCCCCCAGTAATAATAACCATGGTTTGCCCCTGATTAATCAACCACCTTTCTGATCCATGAAATTTTAACAAATCCAATAGAATTCTATTAAGATCTAATTGACGTAAGCCATATCCAAAGTTTTATGGTTCAGAGTTGCTTATTATTAAGGGGCGATCAAGAAAACCAGTCAGAAGGTACCTCCCTACCTTCTGGGGGGGGGGTTATTAATCCGGTGTTGGCATTAACCGGTTATATGATGTTATAAGTCAGTTATCACTAACAGCCATGGCAATAACTGCAGGGAAAACCCATGGTTTCCCCAGGAACATCATCTCCAACCCACAGCGGCACAGGGTGAGGACCTCCGGCAGCGGCAGCAGCTGCCCGAGGCGACACATCTGACGTGTCAAGAGCTGTTCACCGCTGCCGCTGCTCAACTTGGAGAAGAACTTCAGGGCCTAAAGAAACGATGGTGATATATGGGTGATATATGGGTGATATATGGGTGATATATGGGTGATATATGGGTGATATATGGGTGATATATGGGTGATATAGTGATACATGACTTGTATAATGACATGGTGATATATAGCAATTAGAAAAAAAAACTACTAGAAGTATTAGTGATGGTAATGTGGTGATATATAGGTGATACAATGATATGGTGATATATGTATGACATATAGATAATAGGGACATACTTGTAGTAATATATGGATGATATGACATATAGTGACATATAGATATGGGCATATCGTGACTTATAGTGACTTATAGTCACATTATATATGGCTGATATGACATATAGTGACTTGTATATATATATATATATTATAGCAATGGATGATGGTGACATATAGATAAAAGGAAACTATATACCTATATAGGTGATATGTGACTGATAAATGACTTGTGCAGTGATGCATGATTTGTATAATGATAATAGTGATAGTAATATCCTGTTTGTATATATATATATATATATAGCAACATAGTAATATAAATAGTATAATGTATAATAGTAATAACACTAATTACTGATAAAATGTGATATATTTGTGATAAAATGTGATATATGGAACCATGACATAAACATTGTAATACAACTATATGACATGGGTGATATGACATATATATATATATATTAGTGACTTTTAGCAATGATGGCTCTAGATGACTTTGTGTGATCAGGACATTCAAAATTTACATTTTTCCAGATATATAATATAGTGATAAAATATAGTGATAACATACATAGTATTCGGGTAGCAAAATCAAAGTATACCTTGACTACTTAGAGTGATATTATAGTATTACGAGAGACAGTGACTTATAGTTAGAATACTATAGTGATACATGACACTAGTAATGTCTTAACCATCTGCATTTATAACTACCTGGTAGTGTATATATATATATACATTAAAAAACTAAATGGTAATGACCTTAGATGTCTTGAGGTGGTGTGTGTGTATATATATGTGTGATATAATATGACTTATAGTCGTGACTCATGTAATGCTATACTACACAGTATGACTTACAGTTATTTTTTATTTTAGTGTTCACAGTTATAGTTGTGTTACAAGTGTAATATGACTTAATGCAGTACTATTGTGTCTTGTATCATATGCAATCACATGCCATTGTCAAGTGTGGTAATGGTTTAAAATTAGATTGTCGTATTAAAAGTGAAAATGACTTATGATGGTTACCATTCTAATTAGTGATATAGTGATATCGTGATATACGACTTGTACTTTTAATATGTTATGTTCCTGATTAGTGATTAACTATAATATTGTTCTATTGCTGTATTACTAAATCTTGTTCAATGGGAAACTGGCACCCACATCTATGTTTCTTTTTTTGGGGAGGGTACTACTATTACTGATACTATTATATATGTGGTGGTATCATACCAATTGGTAGGCATATAGTAATAATGATTGTAAAAATACAACAAACGCAAGTTTTTTTGTGAATCCTTCTTATACCAATTCTGCAGGGTACAACGAAAATTGATGCGACCCCCCTGGGAAGCTCCGCCCCAGGTCATCGATACGACTCAATGCCATGACTGTAGTGAGTCGTGTATCAAATGTCTTTTGATAGTCATGTTCATGGTTAGGTAGCCAACGGAGTAATGAATTAGGATGTCTAAATCTAATATTTATTTAACCAGTATTATATTGTACATGACTGGGTACAGTAACGGGATGTAATTGGTGTTATATTAATTATATAGATTCTCAAATCATATAAAGATCCACTGAATTGGAATGTTAACCAACAAGGCAGGGGACACTCTTAAGCAAATTGGATTATTGACAATACGAATTGGCCCATCTTAATGACAACCCATTTGAAGCCCGGGGATATCATGGGGCCACTTGGGATATCTATTCTAATATGTTATGGCACTTATTGCACAACTGTTCTTGAATAGGAGTGCCTGACACTGTGAAGCATGGCTACGGCTACAGAAAAAAATTGGTTCTACATATTAGCTATATATATATATATATATAGTCTAATATTATCTATTTATCTGTATATATATATATAGATATTAGCTAAACAATAGCTATTGCTTTAGATATACATACTTACAAGTGACTATTGGCCTGAATCCAACCATTTCGCTGAGCAGCGGAGTTGAACCCCAAGTCCCTTCCTTTGGAGAGGTGGAAGTACTCCTGGCAGCGTGTATCACCGGAATGTGATCGTAGATTGGGGAACATCATGGGGATATGCATATATATATATATATCATTATATCATTTACATATCATATAATGTCATATATATATAGTGTGAAGTTGTGCTTCAAAAAATATGATAATCTACAGCAAGCTGCAGAAAACCTCATTTACACATAATATATATATATATACCCTTGGGGGCGGGGGTTCCCCGAGGGGGGGGGTGGGGTGGGGTGGGGTGTAATAACGTTCATGTAACTTGCGTGAAGGGGTGGGGTGGGGAGGGGTGGGGTAAAAACGTTCATGTAACTTGCGTAGAATTGGAGGCGACGTGGATGCATTCTAAAGTCATGTTATGTACTTCTCAGGCATATGCCATGTTACGCTAGTGTAAGTTCTCTTGTAATTGTGACGTCTACGTCATGCTACGCTAGTGTAAGTTATCTTGTACTTGTCACGCATACGTCATGCTACGCTAGTGTAAGTTCTCTTGTACTTGTCATGCATGAGTCATGCGGGGGGAAGGGGTGGGCTGGGGTGGGGTGGGGTGTAATAACGTTCATGTAACTTGCGTGAAGAGGTGGGGTGTAAAAACGTTCATGTAACTTGCGTGAAGGGGTGGGGTGTAAACATCGCAACGTTCTAGCAGTGCACTATGTAAGCAAAAAGCCTGGTTTGGAAAGTGTCTTGAATGCACTCGCACGCTTCAAGGAGTTGGCAATGAAAAGTTGCCGGCAGCCTGGTTTGTGCCTTCTATAGTGGTTGATATGTCTTGTACTAATGCTTTTGTATAAAAACAGAAAAAACAGCTGACTCACAGCACTCGGAAATTTTGATGATATGCAAAATCACTGTGAATTACCAATGAAAAACAACGTCACATCAAAATACCTGTGGAAACACAGTATATTATACCCTTTTCCAATGATCTTTGATATAGCACAAAATGTGCACCTCGTAATTCCAATGGAGAAAATAAGAACACCAAAAAAAAAAATATTGTGATGGTCCATAATTGACTTCAACTTCGACGGACGAAAAAAAAATGATCCGTAATTGAAAGACATTAACAATGAAAAGAACGACATGAAAAATCTCAATTTTACCACAGTGAAACACTGTTTTTTCTCCAATTCAATGATCCTGATTGACGTCCTCTCGGGGAACCTCCTCCCCCTGCCGTATATATATATATAATTATACATATCTATACACAATTTCCCTTTGTTTCTTTTTTGTTGCCATCCAAAACGGAGACTTCCCATCGATCCATAACGGGCAGTCCCAGTCCCGGCCGCGCCTTGTGGCAGATGTGCCTGCCATCTGCGCGCAAACGAAAGTCCAAACCAGCGAAGATGTCTTCGCTGAGGTTCAACGTCCTCAGCACAGATTCTGGGCGACCCAGCAAGACCTAGCCCCCCGAACAAATAAGAAGGGTTTCAAAGGCAAAAGACCTTTGTCACCCAATACACCAGCTTTTTGTCAACAATAATTCCACCAGTTGGATCATGTTGTGTTGTTAAAAGTGTTGACTCATTGTTGGTTGTTGATAGGTATAACCCATGACGGATCCATGGTGCTGGTAGAAAAATGCTAACATCACTGGGGTTTTCCTTGATGGGATCCATGGCACACCAGGTTACCATATATAGCAGCACCATGGATTTGATAGGTACCCTCTGGTTATTTAACATAGCCATGGAAAATTGCCCATTTATAGATGATTTCCCCATTAAAACCTCCATTTATAAGGGATTTTCCATGGCTATGTTAAATAACCAGAGGGTACCTCATGTTGATGAAACATCTGCAGCCCAAGGGCCGCGTGCCCTTAGAGATTCCACCCTGCTGCATCATGTACCTCGGCGTGGTGATTCGCGTGGCAGGCATCGAACCCCAACGACTCAACGACCACATACCTGACATCCTTCGGTTGAAGAAAACCCACAACAACTAACTACAGGGCTGTAGTTCGAGATATCTACCAGAAACCCAATCGTTGACAGTGTCATAACTAATTAGTTCGATATGTCCGTAAACCAAACTAAATTCATCTAGGCACAGGTTTACTTACCTATCTAGCCTACTCCATTTTACAGTAGACCCACCAAGCCACCTTTTTTCCAGCCCTCGGGTGCTGTGTGCGTGTGTGTTATTCAACATCCTCAAACCATCCAGCATGTCTCCATACATTGCCTGCCCCAGGGTGCTGTTCACCATAACTTACCAACGTCCTAAATGTGCCAGCAAAAAAAAAACAGCATGTCTTAAACTGGCTCCAGGTGCTGTTAAATCAACATCATATTAAATCACCATTTGACATCACTCTCAATCAAACTATGGTATTCACAGTTCAGGAATTCTGTCCCCGCCCCATACATTGCCCCAACTGCCCCAGGATGCCCCAGGGTGCAATACAAACCGCCACATACAAACTGCCTGCCCCAATCACTCTTCCTTAAACCATGTCAAACATCTAAACACCATTTCACATAACTTCTAATTCAATTATGTCCAGCACCATACCTTGCCCCAACCGGCTCCAACCCCATTTATGATGTATCATCTCATCTAATAACAACCCTAGTTATAAATAAGTTATAACTTATAACTCATAACTGGTTGGTGGTTTCAACTCCTCTTAAAAATATGAGTTCGTCAGTTGGAATGATGATTATTCCCAATATATGGAAAGTCAATCCAAATTCCATGGTTCCAGTCAGCACCAGCCTTAAGAAAAAATCCATCCAAATTCGCCATTGCACTGTACCACTACCACCTGCCCGGACCCGCCCAAGGTGCTGTTTGTTCATGAGATCCGGATGTCCGTAATGCATCCGGGCGCCCAGCACCGCATAGCTCCGCTGCAGCAAGGTGCAGAAGGCCATCTCGGAGCCCGCCGCGAAGTCGCCCACGGAGCCCAGGTCGCCTTGTTTTGGCCGACCCAGGGGGGGTGGGGATGGGGGAAGGCTAGGGTGGATGATATGGAAACACAGATATTCCAAAAATATCTGGGGAATATCAGTTGGATGACTTGTTGGATGATGGAAATTCAAATGACTGTGTTGTTTTTCAGTGTGTCAGTCAGAGGTGTTTCTGGAATCGGGGCTGAGAACATACATGGGATACAACACATCCTGTTTTACACACTCCAGAGATGATCAACGATGTCTTACCTTCCATTCCTCCATCATGGCCAAACATTGATCATCATCAATCCACTTACAAACGAGTCTTATACAAACGGGTGGGGGTCTCAAAATTAGGGTACCCCAAACACCCCTTTTCACAACCGGTTGCCTGAAATTTGACGATAACTTGGGGTCCCCAATTTTCAGGTAGTCATCCACCTCATTTCACGGCAATCCATCCCACAAATTAGGTTAATCTCAATCCAATTGATCCATTGATGACCATCCCCGAAGAGGAAAGCCCCCACAATCACCGTGCCGTTGGCCCGCCAAACTAAGCCGTTCAAAACGGGTGATTGATTACGTACTATATACTATAGTGGGTTATGAACCTACGTGGTTTACTTCGGATCGGTCAAGACCTACAATAGGGATACCTATTCAGCAACCAGTGTTTCATGCAATGGGATCCATGACTATCCACTTCATATTCCCTGACCATATCATATCATATCATATACCATTCATATCCCAGTAAAATATGTTAAGTATCCATAATCCCCATCAAGAAAACATAGGCCCACATTAATATATATATAATTATATGTATATATATATATATGTTATAATTATAAATAAATATCATTTTATCATGTATCTTTCATGATTATATATATATATTATGATTATATATATATATATTACAGTAGTTAATCGCATTATATCCCATTCACATCCCAGTAAAATCCCCATGATTCCTTGCACCTTGCGGGTACACATAATCATCCCAGCAACTGGTGATGTGTTCTGGAAAGCCAACGATCCTGAGCTGATGATTTCTGGCTTTGTTTGGAAGCCAAGGCTAGCCATGGGTAGCCGCAAATCCATTGGTTGATGCTCATTATGCCCATCAACCAATGGCTACCCTCTGGTAAACATACAAAAAGCTATTGAAAATGGCCATTTACAGTGGATGTTCCCATTAAACATGGTGATTTTCCATAGTTATGTTAGTTTACCAGAGGCTATTTAGGGAGACAATCCCATGATATCAGACAACCCCATGGATACAGGATCAAATGTTCTTCCCAACATGTACCGCACGGTCATCCTCCTAACGGTAGGACGGTAAGCATCAAAAAGAGGCTACCCCGAAATCGACGGCTTCATCACCAGCTTTCCTTTGACACAGCCATTTTGAGATATATCCCGGCACATCGCATTAGCAAAGCCATGAAAAACTTGCTGGTTCCCATGATATCACCATTGGTTGATATTGGTTCCCCTGATACTGTAACCCCATCATAATTCCCATGTAACCCTCTGCCATAACTCCCTAAATAGCCATTTAGATGGGCATAATGACCATCAACCAATGGATTTACGGCTACCCATGGCTAGCCTATTTCAATGGTTGGCTTCCGGACTCCTCCCTGCAATCGTATCATGTCGTGCCGTGACTCTGCTTGGCGTTCCAGCGGAACTCGCCCAGGGCTGAGGGCAACAGCAACATCTGTTCGAAGTAGGCGCCTCAGGGCTTCGGTTTTTATAGCCTCTGCTTATAGAAAAGGTGGCAAGCTGGAAAACTTACCGTATAGAAAAGGTGGCAAGCTGGAAAATCACAATGTTTATGTTCGGTAAATAATCACGTGTTTTTGTTTGATCACTTTTTATCATCTATAGATGGGTCATTTTCCATAGCTATGTTAAACACCCAGAGGATAAGTCAGGTACCATGTTTTTTCTTTTTTAAGTTCCTGGCTTTGTTGGAAGTCCTTTTCATGTATGGATATAAGAATATCTCCCATATGGTTTTGTTTCAATGGACGCATTCCAAACTGGTTAGCCCAAAGAACGATCCTGTTAAACATGAGTTTATGATACCCATATGCTCCATGTATGCAATATTTACCACCATTTACCCCATAAATGGCCCAGTTTTGTAGGTAAATATACCAGCACCATGGTTCGCATATGGGATATGGCTAAATAGGGATGATCAGTTATAGTGGATTTACCCACTAAAAATGGTGATTTTCAACAGCTATGTTAGTTTATGATATGGTAGAAGATACAAATGGCATTTCATGGCCCACAGCCCAGTGGGGAATGTGTCCTGTTAGGCATCCCCAAGGGACATCCATCAAGGGATCGTCCGGGTGTGTGGGAGGAATCTGACTGTTTGACATCATTTCAGATATGGCCTCCTCACAGGAATTTGTGGAGGGAAGAATGAATTGTCATATGGGGATGTATCAAAACCAATCTTGCTATATTTGGGGGGATGAACATCCATTTACCAGTTATTTGGGGTTCACTAGGGTACCAAGGTTTTGACTCATACCCATATGTTAATATATTTTATCTATCTGTGTTGTGGATGAATCATCCAAAATCATTCATCTTGTATATCTCGTTGACCGTTGTTGACCAATGTCATCGGTGTCTTGTGTTGAAAATCCTCCCCAGTACCCGGCCTGGTAAACATACAAACAGCTATGGAAAATCACACCATTTTATAGCTGGGTAAATCCACTATTTCGACTGGGCCATTTTCCATAGCTATATATGTATGTTTACCAAGCCAGGTAGCCAGTGCCCCTACTTTGTGTGCCTTGATTTGCATCCACACATTGCGTGACGGTCCCGCGGGAGAAGGGCAAAGCGTGATTCCTAGGCAGGTCGTGGGGCCGGAGATGGCGAGAATTTGGAGTTCTGGTTGGTGCTTTTACGCTCTGGTAAACATACAAAAAGCTATTGAAAATGGCCATAGAAATAGTGAGTTTTCCCATGAAGAATGGTGATTTTCTCTGGTTATTTAACATAGCCATGGAAAATCACCATTTGTAATAGGTAAACCCAGGTAAACCATCTATAAATGGGCCATTTTCCATGGCTATGTTAGTTTACCAGAGGGTAACCCTTTTGAAACATATGAGTTCGTCAATGGGAAGGATGACATTCCCATATATGAAATGGAAAATAAAAGCCATGTTTGAAACCACCAACCAGAGTTCTGAATCGCGTCTGTTGAGCCATATGTTCTACGCCACAGGAAATGACAAAGCAACAAAACATGGCTGATCAATCAAGGAAATATGAATCATCAGACATGAAAAAGGGAAAAACAACCTAAAGAAAGCAGAAACAAGAGAACCAAAACAGTTGGAAAAAAGAAGTCAAATTTCAGATAAGACCAAAGGTTGAAACAACATGCGTGCGTGTTCAGTATATTCCCAGAAAAAGTAGATAAGTTGAGCCACCCATTCCAGAAACATCAGGCGGGTTGAAATATCCATCATGCCAATTCAGGAACCATTGTCGGAACTATTTGCTTTCCAGCTCCAGTGCTTTGTTTTTTCCCAGACATCAGGAACCAAAAAGCATACCAAGAATCTGATTGTCTGCCTTGCCATCACTCAAGATTGGATAGCCGGGGAGTTCAATTCGGTACCTGCGGCCAGGATGGAGTCTGGTAGCAATGGGGGAACCTGGAAAAATCTTCCTCCAATGGTGATCTCCCCTATGCTTATTTGGCTGGAACCTAAAGGAGTGCCTGCTTGAAAATGTTTGTTGTAATACCCTATCAAACCTGCACACATGTTTGATCTTAGTTTCAGACCACCCAACTAAAGTTTTCAGAAAACGCAAAGCAAGAAAAACGGATTGCATGACTTAAGGATCATATCCAACACTCACTTCAGGGCATGAAAGTATACTCTCCAGCAATCAATCAATTACTGAATTCGATTGTTTTGTTTTCCATAATTTTTTTCCCAGCGAACTCTAAACCTCCATTTTCCCAGCGAACTAAACCTATATAGTTTCAACCCTACCCCTCTGAACAATCATGGAGTTCGTCAGTTGGGATGATGATTATTCCATTCCCAATATTAATGGACAAACAATCCAAATGTTCCAAACCACCAAGCAGGAGTTGTTAATAGTGGTTAATAGTGGTTAATAGTGACTAGTGATTATCCATTGATTATCCATTGATTATGATTATCCATTGATTATCCATTGATTATCCATTGATTAATGGTTTCCAAACCACCAAAATCATATAAACCATGGGTTTTCCCCATGAAATCACCATGTAAACAGTCATTCTCCATGGCTTTTCCAATGCCGGGACACAACGGCAGCCGGAACGCCGAGTCCGAGTTCTTGGCCTGGCGGATTTCAAGCATCATGGGGCTCTATGTGGCTCTTGTTTAAAGATGATCTATCATAATATGTATATATATATATATATTATTTGATGGATGGATGGATGGATATGGATATGGATATGGATATGGATATGGATATGGATATGGATGGATGGATAGATGGACTGATAGATAGATAGATAGATAGATAGATAGATAGATAGATAGATAGATAGATAGATAGATAGATAGATATCAAGTAATGGGTTAAGAATCTGAAAAAAAAGAAGAGAAGCCTCCAAACATTGATGCTATTGATGCTTTAGTATCAACACATGCGACTCAAAACCTGACAAAGACGAACAGAATCGTCTTGGTTCAGACATGTGCCTAATTGTTTTAACAAATAGTGGGTTTGTACTGGCCTATGCCCATGTCTATGACAATATGTGACGAGATTGGAAGGTATATATAGTCCGACGTACACATGTTATCTGCGCACAAATGTAAAATATTGACATAATATTGAAAACAAAATCGAACCATTCATTGGGTATGTACATAGCATACTAGAAAGATCAATCATAGGACAGTACTATACATATACATATACATACATACATATGTATATATATAATTATATAGAATACAATATGTTCATATTGTTTCTGTGGCTCAAAACCATTGACCCCACAAATGGATGTGTCTAAATACACACAACAATGAATAACATGTTTGGCCGTCAATGACTGCCCTGGAAATTGTTCCCCCATCTTGGTTTTCTCATGTTTTCTCCACAATGGTGTTCATCCCTAGTATATAAGCAGTTAATGTCAAATGAGTTAATAACCTTTGGTACTGCAGTGTATTCCTGGATGAATACACAATTACACTCCAAACACACAATATATATATATATACAGAAATACCTATCTCTAAACGTTACACACGTTACACACGTTACACACGTTACACACGTTACACAAGTTACACACGTTACACACGTTACACAGGTTACACATAGCTTCAAAAAAAACGTTTGGCAAGCGCCTTCTTGCATGTTCGGTCGATGAGACAGCTGTAATATCTCCGACGTTGCTGTGGGTGTATCGCCTCAGACCCAATCAAGATGGGGGACTTGTCCAGCACGCCATGCTTGATGGTAGAAGGTAACGTCAACCCGTGGAAACTGAACATGTTCAAACTGTGGAACAGGATTGGACAGGATAATTGAACATATGGTTTTCAAACGGTGATATGCTGACAAATGATCTTACTCGCATGATACTCAAAACATCAATAGAACAAAAAAAACATTTCATAAACAGGATATCGGATGACATCAAGCTATATTTGACTATATTTGACATCAGACATTCGCATTATTTGACACACATTACCATCCCCAATAATGGATATGTATATATATATGTGGATATCATCTAAATTTTGACTCTGACACATCGTCGTAGTTAGTTTAGTTACCAACCGTTTTTTTCCACGTAGCCATGGAAGATGGCCCAAGGTGATTCCCAGTTCGCTACACTAACATCAACCAGAGGGTATATCCCGTTATTTTCATATTATTATGAGTGTGATTCTTAGTTAAAACATTACTATTATATACTATTATATACTACTATATACTGTTATATATTACTGTTTTAGTGATCTTGATACTACCATTATCACTATTATCATAACTATAATTATTACTAATAAATCATGTATCATCATTAATTATTGTTCTAGCTATTACTATTAATAACAATTATTACTATTATTGTTATCATCATCATGATTACAGAATTAAATAGTGATAAACCACCAGCAATTGGACCTCCTTCGCCTCCGCTCCAAGGCACATCCGGCCGCCCAGGGCCCGCAGGGCCGCGCCGCTCGCCCAGGCCGCCGTGGTCGATGTAGGCCACTTTCAGGTTCAACGGGAAACGCTCCAGCCTGGGCACCGCGCCCCGGGGGGTTCAAATGGGCCCAACGTCATGGAGGACTTTCCCTGAGAGAAAATGTGAGAAAATATGGGATAAATATGAGAAAATGCTACTGAAAACCTCGAAAAATGTGAATTTAAGAAGGAACACATGGAGATTGAACGGTGAGGAAGTGAATTGGAGTGGTGCAAAAAAAAATGGATTTCACCAATCAATCAGAATATTTGACCAACAAATAGTGTGATTTGGCTTACGAAGCACGTCTTATTCGACCATGAAACATGCAGAGTTGAACAGGAGCAACTGGACATGTTCAACACAAAGAGCAATTCAATGAACTCATGGGGATGTAGGCCAAAACAACGTTCCAAGTAAATCTAGTTATTAAATATATACTCTATTATATATATAATTATATATATACACTCTATTATAGACATTTATATATATATACTATAATATACTATATAGAATACACAAATGGTATCTTATAGATTACATCTATACCATGGACCTAATCGCGTATGTTTCTATCTCTAGTTTCGCGGAGTTTCTGAAGATTCGACCCCAGAGCCCAGCCAAGTCACATCTCATTCACCTGTTTTCGCTGCACAGATGTGGAGAATGAATACCTATGGCGCGGCGCTGACGGCTGACGAGAGCTGATGAGAGCTGATGAGAGCTGCTGACAAAGGGTAAAAGTAGGTGACCTCGTTAGTAAAAAGGCTGGTTAATTTATTATGTGTCGTGATTTCTGCAGTGATTAGTTGCTAGTCCCGTAGTCCCATAAGAATTCATATTGATCATTCAGGAAAGCAGTTCCTCTATATATATATATAATAATCAGACTAAACTCATCATTTCGTCGAGTGCCTGTGTCAGAAAACTACAGCAAGAAATGGATTCAAAAGACCAGTATAGTCCAAAAAGTTGCCGGAAAGTGTGCAACCAGGATGGTACTTCCATTAAATTGACCTCATGTGTTCCTTCAAGTTTCCAACTCTTTGGCAGCTTTGGCATCTATTTTCGGGTTGCTATTTAATTTCATAGCACATGCCTGGCTTGACTTCAATGATCTTCATGGACCAGTTCCGGCAGATCCTATCCTATGATATAAAACCTTTCGGGATATCATATTTCTCAGAGAAGCAACTGGCTAAACAATCCTTGAAACTATAAGAAAATCATGTGGAAAGCCCACCATTTGTAAATCATTTTCTGAGCGGGAAATCATGGCTTTTCCATATCCTTCTTTCCACATTCACCAAGCGTTGCCGACATTGCTGAGGGCCGGACAATTGCATGGAAACAAGACATCGAAACCTCGGGGACAATGCAGGAGTTGATTTGTATCTATAATATATATATATACATGTATGTCTAGAGATCTTTATGTCTAGAGATCTTAGATAGGTAATATCACTTGTCTTCATCTAGTGGCAACTACCATCATTTTGCTTGATCATGTCATGCAAGGTGTAGTTATCACATATGCCAACTTTGGTCAGGATCAGCACGACCAAATGCAACCTTCTGACAGGTAATTTTGAAGCTCTTCTGGGGGCGTTGAAGATCCCAAATCTTGTAGACATTCACAATAAAGGTTCTATGCTTATTCTGTTTTGATCCATATCTATTAGGCTGAAATCCCCATTAATATAATTGCAGTTTTACATTACACACCGCTGGTTGAACATAGCCATCGGCAAAACCCTGTGGTGACCTCACGCAATTCAGTTGAGGAGCACATCACTGGTGTCTTCCTTAGTGAGTCATGCCATGCTTCAATACTGACACATGACTGTGGCTTTGTCTGAAAATAGGCTGGCCAAATTTTGATCATAATTTTCCCCATTTTTCATGGCTATATTTAAATCATTGCCAATCTTAGATACCCTGCAAAAAAAAAAATCTTTGCTGGTTAGTAGATGTTCCCATTAATACGAAAAGACTAAAGGATTAAAGTATCCGTGTAAGATTGACCTATATTTGGGGGCCAATTCACCATCTGCAGGCCCATGTTGACTCTCTAGGAATCCACAAGATCCACAAGTTCGTGTCGTCTTCATCAATCCTGTAAGATCCTGTAAGATAATCGGAATGGACATTTATATATAATATATAATAACCCAAAGGGTCGCAAACTCATGTCTAAACTTTGCCTTCACAAGGTATCCCATGTATATACGTTTGCCGATCCACCCCCTCTTCTGCTCAGGACTCAGGTCAACAAATCACTAGGATACCAACACTTCATTTTCTTCCCAAACTTGGGTATCATCACCATGGCGCAAAGTTTTTGACCCAAGAAAATGTATTGCAAACCAATGTTTACCCAAAGCATTGGTCAAATGCAGGATGCAGGTAGATACCGCACAAATTTCCCATCTCTTTTTGATTTGGAGCAATGGCCCACGTGTATGAAGAGGGCCCTACTATTACAAGGTCAGATACTTAGTCTTCAAGGATTCAGAAGCGTTCAGGTTTCATCTTGTCATTGTTTTATTACAATCAACCCTTATCAACCCAACCGCTTCTTTAGGCCACTACGAGGCACAGGATCTCAGTGACGAATCAGAGTCGGGTGCCACCAGCCGTCAATGCACTAGTTTGTTGATGCGTACTTGGGATGATATAAACCTCCGACTTAGTAGCCATTTTTGGTTCTTCAGTTCTATATAGGTAGCCCATAATGAGTGGGCGTAGTAGGGTCCGCCTAGATCCAGGGCGCATGGCCCTGCTGAAGGATTGGGAAAAGATATGTTATTGGATGCAACCATACGTATATATTCCTAGCTCCCAAAAGCTTACCACGTTGCCCGGCAGGACTTTTTCAGAGAACTCTGTTCCTTTGACTACATCAAAAGCCGAAAGGCTGATCTCAAAAAAAAGAAGTTAAAGGAACCCCTGGCATAGTTTTAAAATGATCTGTTACTGGTTTCCTTGACTCATCCCTTGCTGCATGCAGCGGCCAGGTTTTCAGCTTGGTCAATGTGAAGGGTCACGTCTCAGAAACGGATGTGCCCATCCCAGATTGTCCGGCGAATCTCTGTCAATATCGTTCCGTGAAATGCTCTAAGAGATGAAATATACCATTGTTTTGGGACAACTGTATTGGGGTCCAACTTCGGCAATGCATTGGTTTTAGTTTTTAATGGAAATTCAAAGGGGTAATTGAAATTGACATCATTAACCAGTAGAATGAAGACTTCTTGGATCGTTCATGAGGTGGAAGATCCAGTCAACCGAGAATTTCTTGAAAAATATCTCGCTACCTTCTGTGGGGACCTTCCACGTCAAGCGGAGGTGCAGGACCAAAATAATTTGTCTTTACGATGCATGGTATAGTATGGTTTTTTAAAAAACATATGTCCAGGTACATTTCCCAAACCATGTCCAGTGCTGCCATGTCCCTATCTGTCTGTGCCAGGAGACACTCTTCGACATCTCTCGCAACAAACCATGGTTCAACAACCACTTCGAGACTGATGAAAATCACAAGGTGGGCCAACGGGTTATTTGATATATTATATTTCCTTCGATCAACACCGGCGTTCATCTGGAATGCGACATGGTTTCACCATGTTGTCGGCTGTAGCATCGCATGCATGCATGGAAATCACCAAATCGAGTTTGCCTTCGCATTAGAAACATTTTGGTTGATATTAGCTAAATTAATATAGATTTTAAAGGAGATAGCGAAAATAGACATTGGTGTCCAGTATCCATGGTCACCGTCCCAATTATCAATTTTCCCTTTTGCAGGCATGGAGTACAATTGAAGCTGGGCTGTGTCGAGCTCTATCAAGCTACGTGACAAACAACTTCAATCGTACTGGCCGTGCGAGGCCCCTTTCTGTTAAATACACTGCAGCGCATACTCTGACAGATTTGAACAGGATGTTTGGACATATTTCGGTCAGTTTTTCTCAAGGCGACCCCATGCATGGACACTGCCCTGTGAAGGAAGGGGAGAGAAGGAATGAGTTTTTTGAAAGAGCTTGTCAAAGCAAAGCTTGAGGACTAACCGGCTAGCCTGGGACTGGATGAAAATGTATCTTCTTTCCTTCAAAGTGTTGGGCTGTGCCAGTGCGATGCTTCTGGATTACCAGTCATAGCTCTCATGCATGAAGTTCATGATCCATATTAGTTTTTCTATCTTTGTGATCGAGTGGGCTACTGCGCAGGAACTCGGCATGCTGAATGCAAAGGGAAAAAAGATCCCAACCAGGGGACGATCCACAACCAAGAAGGCTAGGGGGGCCTATTTAACAATCGATCAATGGACAATGCAGCATCTCTGGGATTTGGCATGAACAAATTCATGATGTTATTTTGTCTATTCAATAATCGAACTCCCTGCGATTTGACATGAACAAATTTATGGTGTTAGCTAGGCCATTTAATAATCAACCAGTTAGCAACGCAGCATCTTCAAAAAATCATCATGTTTTGAATCTGAAGATTTCAAATCCCGGATCATGATCTCCGGCGCGCCAGCCAGGTCACTGCTGGATCTTCGACCAAGCGCTCGGGAAGCTCAATGCCTCAGGCAGCACGAGGAACTCGTAGTGTGAAGAAGAAGTCAGAAAAGACCCAGCAGGATGACACCCAGCCCACTGATGAGCCCACCCCGAAAAAGAAACTCGAAAGTGATTTTGTTTCTTGTGCCCATGATGAGTCAACACGCGAAGGTGCAGAGGAAGAAAATCATACAGATGATGAGGTGGTTGAACCTTGCACACCGCATCACCCAGCCATGTACACCGAGATTGATGATCAAAAACCTGTTGAACTGTCTCAGTCTCAGCAGCTGCCCTCCCCTCAGCGTGTTTCTGTCATAGACTCGGACGAAGAGATGAACAAGGGTAAGAAGAACGAAGTAAAAGGGACATTCAAGGACCACACCATCACTGATGTTTGCAGTATTGATTTCGATTTGAAACTTTGGATCTATATGAGATATTATAATTTATATCCGTCATGCTAGACGCAATGTGTTCAACAAGGAATATGCAGATATGCAGCTGCACATTATAAAATATATCGACCCACCCCACACGCATGCATACAATTCTAGCAAGCACTAGGATAGATATAGAGATAAATCTGCTCATCTGCAGGACACTTCTCCCTTGACGTCTTTGCCACCTGAGCCTGCAGATGATTCGTTGGTTGCCCAAGCTGAGAAGTCGTGCGCTGAGCTTGAAAGAAAGGTCAGCTCCAATAGCATTGACTTGCTACAGGTGGGGTTTTTCGGGATTCTCTGCTTGATGATGATGATGATGGTGATGATGATGATGATGATGACGACGATGAGGCTTTCAGGATATGAGGATGTACTATACTACTACAAGTAGTATATGATGATCAGGGTGATGATGATGATGGTGATGATGGTGATGGTGATGGTGGTGATGATGGTGATGATGTTGATGAGGTTGATAATGATTATGATGATGATTCGTTCTACTGCAGCGTAAGTAAACATATCGATAAGTAAACATATCGAGGTTTTGAATCATTGAATGATTTAAATCATGATGTACTAGATGCTGGTGGGTGATGAAGTCTGGTTAAAATGATATTACATCTTTCTTGGTGTCAAGTTAATGTAACATGCCTGCATCTCCATGCATGCGTGCTAAAATGCCTTTGGCACGGCATTGATATTTGTGTTGTGGCAGGCGCAATCTACGATCAGGGCAGCAGTTAGAGCTTCCATGGCTGGAGATGGGGTGGAGGATGAGGATAGGGCTGCAAGAGAAGAAGAAGGGTCTGATGATCCACCAGCCCGAGGTCGTGGCCGTGGAAGGGGTAGGAAGGGCAAGGGAAAAGGCAGAAGCAAGACAGGAGGAAAAAATAGGGGGCCCAAAGCAGCAGAGAAACCTACCGATGAGCCAGGGGCCAAAAAACAAAAGGTTGACGTCGAACCAAAACAAAGCGTTGCTCTTAGCGATGAACGTGAGAAAATGCTTGATCAACCTGATCAAACCATGGCTGAGGTGCCACAAGATTCACAGCCGCTGCTACATGCATGTGAGGTTCCAACCCCCGAGGCAGCCCCCACTGAGGCTGATGCCCCCACCCCTGAAAAAAAAACATGCAAAGCGAAAGCAAAGAGCAAGAAGCCTCCTTTGACCCCCAAACGAAAAACCAAGAGCCTTGTTTCCCCAAAGAAAGCTGACAGAGGTTCAAAGGATGGAGAAGGTGAGGATACCGGGGGAATGGGAGAGACTGAGAGCACGAAGCCGCAAGCATCCCCGAACATATCGAAGAGCGCCAAGAAAAGAAACTACGTTAAGGACACATTCCCTGCTGAGATTTTGCACACCCATGCCTGCATACCTGTGCTTAGTGAAAGTGATATCAATGATATAGGTAGCAGATGTTTTTCTATTGACATCTGTGTGAAGGAGAATGCCGCGATGATCAACGATGAGCTTTCCCGGGGGGACCACACGCTCCCCTTCTTGCATGCCCAGTTGCCTGCAGACTTCAAGACTCGAAAGTAGTTTCCTCAGATCTCTGCAGTCTCTTTGCTACGCATCTCTGAGTTGCTTTTGTTTAGCTGGTTTTCCAGGTCTTTCACACTTTCGCCTCCTGCCTCTTGTCCCGGTGCAAAAGAAGGAGTCCAAGACATGTCAACTATCGGTATTTTGTGGGGCCCTCAATTCAAAGAGCTCGGTGCTTTTTGCCAGTATCCGTCATGAAACATGTAGCGAGGTTGGACCGAAATGGTTCGTTCTATTGCCGTTCTGTC